TTTTTTTTTATGTTTACAGATAAGGTAGGTCGTTCGAAAGGTGAAAATTGACTAATTTTCATCCAACGCCGGTGAGTGAAATTTATTTATTAATATATCGTATCCGTTCCGTGGATTTTTTCGTGGTCGGTTCGGGGGTTTGAATTCTCGAGATGATTTTATCTCTCGATCAGATGATGTCGAGATGCCAGTAGATATGGCTCCATCAGATAAATCGCGAGTGCGTGTATAAACAAGTGATTGACTACGCTGGAGTGCCGCATTTTGAAATTGGAATTAAGGCCCGGTTGGATTGTCTGGAAAAGATGATTTACTCCAAAATTGGCACGCCTAATTCCTTCATCAATTAATCGATTTTTCCGACAATTGTTAGCTAGCGCTCTAGTTGTTAACAACCGCTACGGCGCTAGCTAACAATTATTGGAAAAAACGATTAATTTCCGGAGTAACTAGGAGTCCAAATTTCGGAGTAAATAATCTTTCCCAAATAATCCATCCGGGCCTTAAATTTATGTCGTATTTTATATCTACGCCCAAAATGGTAAGTACGATATTAAATTATTGAAGTAAATCAATTAAGCATCACTGACAAATTTGTGAAGACCATAAAATGAAAATGATGACGAAGGCACATTATGGAAATAGCTTTAAGAAAACTGGGGCGGCGAAAGGTGTTCACTGCTGGATAACCCCCTGTTGATGATTTCGGTTTTCTCTTAAGCTCTCGCATTTTGTCTACCTTCACCTTTTGTAAATGCATTATCTTTCTTTGGGTCAACAATTGATCCAGGAATTCAAGTCAAGGACTCTACCTCTTGGGTGACGTGGAAAGAGTTTCACTTTAATTACTTGATTTATGAAAAAATAGTCAATACTGGGTAAGAATGTCTCTTATTGAAATAATCATATACCCATAATTCATTTATGCTTTTGTCGACAATTTTTATGCCATACCTTTTTTTTTTCATGTCAATTTGAAAGAAAAAAAATCAAACGACTCGACTGGCATTCAAATGTAAACGCCAGAAATCGCTGAATTGTGGGGGCGAAACGCACATGAGGAGAAGTCGTTATACAGCGCTACGTACGACGTTTGAAGGTACTTGTCCCCTGTTTTGGTGTCGGCGACATCAAAGCTTGGCAATACCTCCCTGTATCATACCTTAATCCAGAGAGCTGTCAGCTGCTGCCATCTGAATCCTACTGTCAGCATATATTTGCTGTTGAAGGGATTGGATTATTTGCTGGCAAATACTCGGCTTTCGGTTTACTTTGAGTGCACAACCAGTTTTTGTTGTTGTTTTAAACTGTTTTTATGCTGATTACTTTGAGATTACGCTGAGCCGGCACCAACGAATCGAGGTAATAATTATTTATTAATATTCTGGAGAGATGTTAGGTTTTATTGAGATGTCAGGGGTGTAGGAGGTCAATAAACTGGGAAAAGGCACTGTTTGTGGATTTTCAATTGTAGAATATGATTTTTGGAGTAGAATTTAATGAGACCGAATTCCTCATTTTTTTCATTATTAATTATAAATAATTTGAGGTGTCAACGATCAACTAACTCGTGAGTAGAAATTAAATAAAATATAATTGTGAATTGAAGTAATAATAATGAGAGGTCACAGAGTATTATCATCTGATTTTTAAAATAATTTATCATTGTTGTCTCCGATTTTGCTACATTTTCTGTTTATCTATTTTGTATTAGAGTCATTGATAAATAGACTCATAAAACACTCTGTGATAATCTAATTGCTACTGATGACAACAATTATTCGTAGATCATCGACGGATTTTTTCATAAAATTGTTGCTTCATAAATAAGCTGGACAATTACGAAGAGAAATGATTGATGTGTTTGGCCCCTTTCTCCTTCAATCGTGGAAAACATGAGTTTTTCTTCATTTTGTCCGAGTCAGATCTGTCGACCAATGAAAATACATGTATTCAAGGAGATAGTGAAGGAAATTTATGTACCGCATAAACCGAGAGTACATATGATTGGATTGTGCCATTGTGCTTTGAATTTTCCAGCCTCTCCATCAACTTCAATTGTTCGCACGTGTTGAATTCTAGTTATCTTCAATGATATTAAAATATTTCCATGATTTTATTTCCAATCATGCAATTCTCCACTCTCTGAATTTAAAAGGAAAAACTACAATTTTTATTCAATCCACGCAGGAGAACAATCTTTATTTTTCTTTTCTCTGATAAATGATTAAAGTAATAAGGAAAATAAAGAGTGTCATCTCCGGAAAAATCGCCTGGACTTTACTCTGATGAATTGAATATAATGGTCATTACCCCTTGTTTGCGAAATTAGCAATCGTTCAGTAATCGTATTCTCATTAAATCAACAGAATTATTCTACGTACAATTTTTTTCGATCGATTTCTCAAGTGCTCATTTAATGATGAACAAAACGATAGCATCCCCGAGTGCCTGATAACCATTGAAACAATTAAACAATATCAATTAAAATATCATTCACTACGGAAGTGAATCATCGACATTTTTCCGATCCCCGTGTTCATCCAGATTTAATTCCCTCAAAGCAAAGAGTAATTAATTCACCGCTAATTAATTACTCTTTCTCTATAAATTATCATAATGCAAATTTACAATTTTCATGAAGTAGAAGATTACTGCATGAACGTGACGAAAAGTCTCAGCGCTTGAAAAGAATTTTCCACGCTTGACTCAATGAGTAATTCCTAAAAAAATGAATTTTTACAATATCCGTGGCTCATTCTCTATCTTTCTGATTCGTCCACTGGTCTGTCGTCAGATGCTCCTCCCTCGGCGATAAGAGATTGCTGGACGTTGCATGACTTATAAATGATAAATATGAAAACATTTTCCCCTTTCTCCAATTTTTTTTCGATCATTACCACAACGAATTTCACCCGGGAATGGCGATTTCCTGAAAAGACCAAATAGGAAGAAAAAAAATTATTGCTATTGGGAATAGTGTTGGGGGTTTGAGTTATTTCTTTGGCTTCTTCAACATCGTACAGTGTTACATAATCCGGGACAACAGACGACAGGAGAGTCCGAATGATAGAGACAGATGAAGTTGAAGAGTAAAACAGCAGCTGGTAGCAGCCGATCTGAGCACGCGTTTCAATATTTCAGTGATCATTCGACTGGTGGAATTCTGTCAGGGAGAGGTGGACCATTTTATTCACCACGTGTGACAGTGGCGAAAAAGCAGGAAGAGGAGTGGACCACCTGGACGGAGGCAACGAGCGATCAGGAGCATTATGGAGATGATGATAATGTGGTATTCATGAAGGACTCCAGGGAAGAGGCTACCGATTCTGAGCTGTCAGTATTGGCAATGTCTCCAGTTGGTTCTGGCAGGCTACAAATACTCTGGGATAATTTTATTCACGCTAAACTACAAAGTTATGAGGTAATTTATTCTTTTTATTTTTCATTTCTTATCTTTTATTATTGAACAATAATAATATTATTTTTCTTTCATTATTCTTAATTATTTTAAAAATATAAAAATCATAAGAGAATCATATTGCGTGAGGAAGACTCATAAGTCGAATTATATATTTCCTTCCGCACCGGCAAAATCCCCTAAAAACCCCGAAACATTATACTGAGAAACAAAAACAATAACTTCGGAAAGTTCAACTCCATGAATTTTAATGTTTACGCAAAAAAGGTAAAATCGATACGCAATATGAGAAGTACTTGCTCTTGTTTCACTAGCTCACCTTCAGTGAATGCAGATTAATGTATCGGATTACAGATTTATCGCGAATTCGTCCGCACGCACAATTCGAGGGATAGATTACGTTAATATCGATAATTTCAGTGATGAAAGTTTTAATTGGAATTGAAATTCCGAGTCGTTAGAGGTATTATTTAATTGTCATTTTATCGCTCATCTGTGGATTTCATTTCTTCCAGAAATCCTTGTGGCTCGATATATTCCTGGCTGAATTGCTAGTTCAAGTACATCATGGCAGAGACATAAAAGAGATTCTATCATTTTGGTAAGTCTATCTTAATATTCATACTTGCGATTTCCATCGGATTCCGATAAAATCAAGGAGTCATTGACCCGAATTTTTGGAGCAATCATTAATTCCGTATTGATAATAATTCTTCAGTGATTTTACAAATCGCTGTTTCCTCAACAATCGATTATTTTGAATATCTACGAAATATCGAATTTCAATTTGCCTGAATCGATAGACAAAAAATGGAAAACCTTCGTAAGCAAAACAAATTGCTCAATTTGAAATACTCAACAGTGCGTGGCCTAAATATCATTTTTTAATGTAAAAAGACTATTTTCATCGTCTCACGACCAGGGATAACAATAACAGCCATTTTCTAGACGATAACGTTTCAAAAATAAGCAGAGATGACAGGAAAACTACGACAATAAAGATTAGAATCAATATTTTTCTGTGAGTGCCCGTGAATGAAATGCGTTACAAATAATTTATTATCGCTGAATCTACAGGATAGATTTCAAGTAATAAATATCGATCACGTCTGCCCCGATATTAAATGATGGAATGATCAATAGAAAATCCTGACCTATCGCACATCAGATGAATTTTTCTCTCATAATTCTCACACGTTAATTTTCAAACGCTTGAAGTCGATGGATAAGAACTCCTCATACATCTGCACACTAGAATCGTTAACGAGCAATCATTGTGTATTGAATGCGTTGTCCTAGTCCGTTGACGTTCCACAGCAATGAGATAATAAAAGTTGGCTTTGCGGTGGCCGATAAGAGTCTACATAACTTTCCACGGTACTTCGACAGAGAAATAAACAATCGTGCCCTCAAACTTATTATTCATTGGGAGTGGAATAAATTTCATTAGTACTCAACCTATAATAAATCCAATAAATTCTCGTGAAATAACGATAAAAAAAAAAAACAAACTGCATAGGAACTTTACAATTTTTATAGCTCAGTAGGTGGTGGTGGAGTATCAACTATGGTAGCCTGTGAACTTCTCTTAGATGTTCACGACTTGTGCTCAGCTCGTAATGACGGCGGTGAATTAATTGAGGTCCATAAATATCTAGTCCAGGGTCGTGGTTGGCGTTCGCTGTCAGTCCTTCATCTTCTTGGTGTTCGTGGTTTGTCCTGCGGTCGACAACTCGTTGCCCTCCTCGTAGCCCTGTACCCCGTATCCTCTCAATTGTCGAGCCAACCGGCACCACCCAATCCCTACATCAAATTCCACAGCAACGATGACACCGTCGATACAGTTGAGATCATTCCCCACACCACCAACAAGAAGAAAAAAAATCGTAGTCGTACGAGTACAACGAGTGAAGCTCAGGTTTCACGTAAGCGTCATCGAAGACACAGTGGTACAGGTCCAAGAGCCTCTCAAGGCCTGGGGGATAAAGATCCCTCGAATCAAAAAGACAGCAGTGGATCCGAGATTCTCACTGATGGAATCGATCAGGCGCGTTCCCTCACTCTCAAGATTCGCCTCAATCCAATGGACTTTGAATATTTCACATCGATCGTCAGATCTGATGAGGAAAATCACTGGCAAGGGCTAGCCCTGTACGAGCCACCACTTCGTCCAACTAAAAAAATCCCCCAGGACTTCATCGATGATCGGATAAAATCAGTGTTGGACACTAAAGTCAGTCATTTCGAGACAAGTCTCTTGATAATTCAGCTACTCCAGGGGCTGAGGGACCTGGAAACACCAGCAGAACAGACACCAGCCGTTCAGGTCCTGAAATTTGCACTGGATACCCTCTGGTCACTTCAATTCGGCATAGATGGGCCTAATTTAACCGGAACTCAGTGTGCAACACTCAAAGCTGCAGCCGCTAGACTGATGCTGGGGGCTCTCGAGAGAGTTCTCCGAGCTGATGAGCCAACAACAGCTGTCATTCACAATGGTCTGTTGCCGATGACTCTCAGACTCCTAGAGGATGCCTGCAGCAAGCCAGTGGTAGTGATGAGCCCCGAGGAGGGCTCTCACCTCCAAGAATTCATATTCGCAACTACATATGGAATCATAACTTTTTTATACTGTCTTCTGCATCAGAGAGGAACTGCTGACAAATTGAAAGACTTTCTGGAATTATTTCAACTGTTCACCGAAAGCCAAGAGGGAAAACTCGTGGAGAGAACTATTCTCGCGATAGTCGATCTCCCGAGCATTGATCCCGAGAGGTCGATGACTCGCGCGAGAAAGGTCGTTGACATGATTGGGGTTCTGATAAGTGCCCTCAAACGAGTCAGGCAGGAATTGTGTCACATGGGCAAGTGCCGCAGATCCAAGCACAGAGCATGCGACAATTTTACCGAGTCTTATCACCACTTTGATATTTTTGGAAGTCCATATTCTCAGGCCAAAGTCGCAACTCTTGGACAACAGATGTGTTGCATTTCCTCTCTCTTTATGGCACTCACAGCTCTCACCAGAGAGTCCAATTCACTTCACGTTGAGCTCGAGGTGAGACTATTGGAAGTTATCACAGCTGCTGGCACATGCTGTTGCTTTCCTCCTAAGATCCTCTTGACTAGTGTCGTTGGCTGCATGAAGAAGGGAAATATTCAGATTTATGGGGCTTGCATTGCTCTCCTCGAGAGGTGTTTTTTCAAAGAATTGGGAGCATTTCCTGGATATGATATTTGCAATACCTGCACTAAACCACTCAATTATTCGTGGGAATTTTTGGAGCTTTATCTAGGACTGTTGAATCCAGAGGATCCTAATTTGTGTTACGTTGTGATGTCGCATTTGATAAAAGTAACGCCTAATGCTGGATTTCACGTCAGACGTGATTTACTCTTTCGGGTTTTTTATCCGACATTTCTCAGTGCTAAGAAGAATCTTGAGAAGAGCACGGCCAATGCAACAACTGAATTTCTCATCCAAACGTCTCTATCCATGATCACCAGTCTCGTTGTCAATGGGACAATTTGCGAGAGATTTGGAGAGATCGGGGGTCTGGAAGAGTCCCTGAAACTTCTTCCCAATCCTCTCTTCACGAGGAATGTTTATGGACTGCTGGAAATGACTGTGATAATGGAAATTTGGAAATCCATTGAGGACAATGAGTGTGAACTGAGTGATGGAGTTGCTGTCAAAGCACTTTTAGATGCTCTCGATAAAGAGAGCAGTGAACTCCTGGAGGTGTTTGAGAGCATTAAAGAGCAGAATATCGAGGAAATACTGGAGGAGCCGGTGGATAATACTTACTTCAAGTCGAAAAAATTCCAGGAGAGGGAGAAGGATAAGTCTGGGGAGGAAATCAGTGTCAAGAGGAATTTATTGAAGACTGAGCTGTCGAAATCTTTGGAGGATATCGTCAGGGGAGGCACCCTTGAGGAATTGCAGAGGGTCAGTCTCTTTCAGGCTAGCGCTGCTTGGAGAGCAGCTGCTGGTGTTGTCTTGTGTAGTCCCAGATTCAGGAAGGAATTGCTGAAGAGTCCTGTCGCTGAAAAATCGTTGAGACTGTTCAAAACTCTTGCTGTTTTCATTGCAACAGATCGCATAAAAGGTATGTCCAGTGATTTGAGTTTGTTTATTATCATAATAATAACTCTTAATAAATTCAAATGGTTTTACCTCATTTTAGATGCCAGTAAATCAGCTCACAGGCTCCTCGAGGCATTAATCACATGCTGCTTGGCATCACCATTGTGTAAGTCAATTCCCTTTTTCATTCTACACTCTACTAAATTTATAGGACGTACGTAAATGCAAATAATACTGTTAGGAGGGGGATAAATTATTTAAATACACCTCTTGGTAACACCTGTGGATTAATTTCGTAAAACGTGAGTTATCAGTTGGGAGAGGAGTTCCATGACGCTCGTTTCACGAATACGTAAATCTCTAATCGATGTTTATTGATTGATGGTTTTATTAATTTATTTTCATTCTCGTTTTGTTACTCCGAGTGCTAAGTTATGCTGATATGACTTGTGGTTTAGGTGATTGCGATGTGATAACAGAACTTGGCAAGGCATTGATGAGTGCTGGAATTAAATTGGGGAGAGGAATAGCAATGCTTGTTGAAGGACTTCTCAGAGTATCCATGCTAAAACCCAGTCACGAACAGACCATGCCACCACCAATGAGACCAAGAGTGAGTTTCAAAGATTAAACAAAAATAAATTATCTATAAAATTCTAACAGGAAAGAGATGAGACGTAAAAAGATCTTGACAAAATTCCACGATCTCTCACGTGATTATTTTTATGATTATAAAATAATGCAATATTAATATCATTTTCTTTTTATAATTTCTTCGTCTCAATGAGAAAAACAAATCTCTCCTGTTCATTTCTGTTCTGATGTTCATAATCTTCTTAAATCCCTTATTTACACTTCTGCTATTTCCAATGTGTTTGTTACAAATTCAATTAGCTGCCAACAATGACCTTGGAGACACTGCCAGATTGCGGTGGGGAGGACAGCAGTACTGGAGAGTATGTAACAGCTGATGATGGATACGAGGCAGATGTAGAGGTTCAGGGGAGAACACCTCAGAATAGTTTACCCAGGAGGAGTAATTCATTGGGACCCATCGTGGAGCCCAGGGGACATGCCAATGCTCATCCCGCACTTTGTTCTCTTGCTGTTGACCTACTGATCCACTTCAGTGAACAGTAAGCTGGATTGACCTAATTATTAATGAATTCCCAATGCCGCTGGCATTATTGTGGAAAAATATCGACAATTATTAAATGGTGAACTTTATTTATCTTTTAAAAAATCAGAGACTTAGACGGCGAGAGGAGTACAATAATAAGTGGAGGATTGCGAAAAGTGGCTGTAATCTGTCGGGAGAGTGCTTCAAGCTGTGCAGCACTAGCAGGATCTGGAGTAATAACAAAACTGTTGAAGGGTTTCGAGTCAATTCTAATCAGCAGAGAGCCAGATCACCAGAACCTCCAGCACGCGGTCCTGGAGGTGTTTACATTGCTGGCCAGCCAGTCGATATCCCCGACAGAACTGGTAACTTATATCTCGCTCTTTAAAGTCGACTCTCCTCCTCTCCTACCCCTTTTAGAGCCCCTGTGTCGTCTGGTTTTAACATCAAAACCTCAACCAAATTTTATCCTCTCATTTCCCATAATGTCCGATGCTACAACCCCCAAGAGAAATATCAGAGAAGACGTGAGAAATATTGAGAAGGCTGAGAATCTCGTTAACAATTTCAAAAGAAAGCACACAGCAGCAGAAATCTGCAGTCCCTGGTCGGTGCATGCGATGTGCCTTCCAGTGGGTCCAGAGCTGTCCTGGCCTGTGTGGCTGCACGGCTGTTCAGTATCCATGTGGCTGAGAGTCGAGAGAGGATCATCCACATTATCAGGACGAGGTGCAACCGTCTCGGTCTCACCTCTCCTGGATTCTGACAGCGAGATGTCAGAATGGGGAGTCCTGACGGACAACTGGAGTCGAGAAGTTGTGGCAGGCTCTGCCTCACCTCCAGCTCCAGTCACAATAATTCACATGATGTCAATAGGCTTTGAGTCTCTCGTCCTTGAGTCGTGGTTGGATTTGAAATCAGACAAACTCATTCTTCGTCTCACACGTCCCGACGATAAGACCAATCGAACGATTTCCGAGGCATCGATAAATGGTCTCCTACCCTCGGGAAGATGGCACCATCTTGCCCTCAACTTCAAGGACACTGTCCTCAATAAAAAGAGTGCAGTGGTGGAGGTGACCATCTGGGTGGATGGATACAGAGAGGCCAGTGCCCAGTTGCCCTTCGATGGTCTTCTAGTTCGTAAACCAGGAACTACATGTGTTCTTCTGGGCCAGAAGGGACCGTCTGGGACTGGCGCCTGGTACCTGGGTAACCTCATGGTCTTCCGATGTCCAATATTCACGAAAGAACGCGCCCTGTATCTCGCCAGTCTTGGCTCGAATTACACAAATCTAGCTGAATGCATTCTTAACTCAGTAAAACCTGATTTTGCCCCTCTGATAGCTGCAGGAGCTCTCAATGGTATACGGGAGGTGAAATTCGAGGGTGGAAAATTCGACACCAGCCGGAGAAAATCGTATGGAGGAACTTATCTCAGACACATTGTGGAGACAAAAGTATCGGATTCGAAAATCGACTGGGATGTCGTTATGGACGCCACGAATTCCCACCTGAGTCACCTTCAGGACAACATATTGATCAGCTACGAGGCACAGAGTCCTCATCTAGTGCATTTGTATCCACAGGCAGTTGCCAATCCCAATGCAGTAGTTAGGACCCTGTTTCCAGGTCAGCCAGGCTTCAGAGTTATCTCAGCACCTGAACACAGGGTTTCTCAGCAGCCCCCACTCTCAATTCCTCCAATTGCTTCATCGAGATTAGAGTGCCAGCAATACAGGGGACTGGTGCCAGCTGCAAGTTTAATCGGTGGAATGCCAGTATTTCTATATCTCTTCGCGAGAATCGTCGAGTTGAATTCTACTGAAGAAGAGCAAGCCCTCGCACTCTCAATTGTACTTCACCTGGCAAGAAGTGACTCTGACCTGCTGCATCAGTATCGATCAGAGGGAGGACCATCACTCCTGCTGAGGGTCCTAGAGAGTCCCAGATGTCACGCAGGAAAACACATTCTAAAATCAATCCTCGATGCTGCCTGTGACACCTCAATTCTCATAAAAGACATCAGCAGTGGGAACCACATAATTTCCCAGAATTGTGAGGCAGTCATAACTGATCCTGAGTTGATAAAAGTATCGTTGGGTGCTTGGAGAACGTGGGCCAAATTCGATGCCCTTAATCTATTCCTTCAGGCAATTCTTGTGCTCCTGAGGGATCAGCACTCCCAGAGGGAATTCAATGCAGCCCAGTTCAATCGTGTTGACATAGTCGAGACTATCTTACTCCTCTGCAAAGAGCACTTTATGTACGAGGATTCCTACGAACGCACTTTACTCGAACCAACGAGTGGCACAACAGTTGTCGAGCTGATAAGAGCGCTAATGGGAGCCCCTCCAGAATTCGCTCATCTAGTTGCAATAACGGATTATCTGGTTCTAGTTCATCAGGCGTCAGAGACTTACGTCACTCACTCGCGTCATAATATTTATTTTTTATTGCCTCCCTTAGATGAGAAGAGGCCACGCCTAAAAGTCTCGACGACAGCAGCAATGACAACAGCAACAACAACAACGAGTTCGTCTGATGAGTCAGTGAATAAATCAGAAGTGAGTAAATTGAATAAAGCACTGGCTAACGTGCAGATTCAAAGAGATCGAGCGACGAGAAGAAGAGAGAGGAGACACGGGGCCTCCAAAGAGACGAGTGCTGGTGAAGATTCCGGAATAGCTGCTAGTGATGGCTCGAATCATCAGGTCAGTGAAAAAAATTTATCATGGAGCGATGAGAAACGAGTGTGTCAGGGACTAGTCTGTGAGGGACTTCTCCTGCTTCTCAGAGATGCTGTCAGGGTTTTGCCTGACAGTCAAGTTGGCTCTGTCCTCAAACACGTACTTAGAGCTGAAATTTTACTCGTTTTGGGTAATAATCCCGACACTAAAGTTCGAACTGCACTCGTTAAACTGGTACAGGCATATTTGCAGAGAGCCAGTGATGAGGAGATTAATAAATTTATCAAGCAAAAGTATTTTATTCATCTGGCAAATCAAATAGCCTTGTACCCAGCTTCTGAACCCCTAGCTGTCGCCCTGGAGACCTTGGCGACTAGGGGTCCAACACCAGCTGCTATGCCACCTCTTTTGGCAATGCTATCACGAGCTTCTACCACTGATCCCAATATTGCCAGGCCAATGGTGTCTTTTATCACTGATATCATCTCTAAGAATTCGAGTTCGTTGAAGATATTGCTTGATCAGGGTCTGGCTGAGTCTCTAGCTAGATCACTGGTGGGTGGTGCTCACAAAGGGAGCTCCACTTGTTTATTCAACGACATTCACATTCTCCTCGTTGCAATAGCTACGAAATTACTGGAATCCCCTGGAAGTCACCATATGCAGGCGATCTCGGATCTTCATTTGATCCTCAATCACGTTGAGTTGAATGAGAGACACAAATGTGGATCAGATTCACCGTGCGTCACTGTTGTTCGCGATGCCCAGGTGGTGCTTTTCGATGGTGAACTCGATTTTCTCATGGCTAAAGTCTCAACTCACTCTGGTTTCAGATTACGAAGTACTGCTTCGTATCTGGCTTCTGCTTCTTACTTAACGTCAGTTCTCACGACTTCTAGTGAACAGAGTGATCATGAATCTAGGTCTTCGAGTTATGGAAGTCTTCATGGGTCTAATACATCGGTGAGGGAACCCGGAAGAGGTGAAATCAATGAGAGATTCAAAACTATTATTGTGAAAACCGTTGAATTTCTCACGACAGCTGATAATTCACCTTCTAGCAGTGAATTACAATTGACGAAGAGATTGTTTTCGATGCTCTTACATGGATTATCGACGAGTCCATCAGACAAGAAGTACTGGGGCTCGTGGGGATCGAGGCCCACTCTGAGAAAAAATACAGCGAGAGTTATGGTTTGGTTATTAGGACCCCATCAGAGCAATAACACAAGAATTTATGCTGTCCGATCTTTAATGGAAGAGCCCAGGGGTCGAGAAATTCTGTCATCATTGCTAGAGATTCATGCACAAGTCGAGCAGAAATTTACAGTTTTCTTCTGGGATCTACTTCAGAGGCGAGACGAAATGCCAAGTGCAGACGCCCGAGTGTGCGCTGAATTGAAAGAAGCTCTGAGTATTTGGGATCTTGTGAAAGGAATTGAAAGAGCGACTCCGGGTCTCTGGGGAGAGGAGCTCACCCTCCTACGACGGGAATTAATGAGGGAAAGAGATATCTGGCTGGAGAATAATCTTCCAGCAATTCAGAGAATTGGAAATAAATTTGATATCCTCACGAGACAACTGACAGAGAGTGCAATGACTATTACAAGAACAGTTGTTGAGGAGCAGAATCGAGAGAGAAAGACACTTATGGAGACACTGAAGCACTCGAGGGCTTTGGAGGCGCAGGGGATGGCTCGATGGAGAGATTTGGCGAGAAGATTGACCCATGAGAGGGCACCCTGGTACTTCCCTCAGTGCTACCCTCGGAGTTGGGAGCTCGATCCAACGGAGGGGCCTGCGAGGGTAAGAATAAGAATGCAGAGGTGTCACTTGAAAATTGATAAAAGATTCTTCACCAATGATCATCAGGAGAAACTCGAAGCTGCCAATGTCGAGGCACCTCTCTCCTATCTCTTCAATAATGTACGTCAGGATGCCAATGCAACAGCTCTGATTGAACGTCTCCACACATCGGAGAGAATCAGGAAGATGTCACAGGCAAGAGTTGTGACACCTCATGCAGAATTACCTGGTGAAGCTCTCATTGGAGAGACTTGTTTGTACTTTGTTCCTGATCAACCGAATAATCCACTCCATGGAGACATTGCACTGGGAGGACTCGATCTGGCAATGGTGGGTGGAACTGCCTGGAGGCTGGAGGATATCAGAGAATTGCATCGACGAAGGTATCAACTTCAGGAACGAGCAATTGAGATTTTCCTGGTCACTGGGAGGACTTATCTCCTAGCTTTCAATACTTCAAAGGAACGAGACGAATTTGCTACTGAATTGTCGACTTGTAATTTACCGAGGCGTGTCCCAGGTGATGATTTGGGAGAGGCACTGGCTCTCTGGCGCAGTGGAGCCTTGACAAACTGGGAATACATCACGTGTTTGAATAAATTAGCTGGCAGGTCTTACAACGATCTAATGCAGTATCCAGTCTTTCCTTTTGTCTTGGCTGATTACACCAGTCATAAAATCGATCTCAATAATTCCAAGATTTATCGGAATTTCAAACGTCCCATGGCTGTTCAAGACAAGAAGAACGAACAGCATTACATTAAAAATTACAATTACTTGAAGCAAGCATTAGCTGAGGACAGTAATCTCGTCGCTCTCAACCAAGGGCCATTCCATTACGGATCTCATTACAGCAATTCTGGAACGGTTCTTCATTTTCTCGTACGTCTTCCACCCTTTACCAGTATGTTTTTGTGCTACCAGGATAATAATTTCGATATTCCTGATCGGACTTTTCACGCGGTAGCCACCACCTGGAGACTGACAAGTTGCGACTCGACGACAGACGTCAAAGAGTTGATCCCCGAGTTCTTTTATCTCCCCGAATTCCTGCTGAATTTTGAAGGCTTTAATTTCGGTGTCAGACAGAATAATCAACGCGTGGGGGATGTGGAGCTGCCTCCCTGGTGCGGAGGTGACGCGAGATTATTTATTTTGTCGCATCGAGCTGCTCTAGAAGCTGATATTGTGAGAGAGGTTCTGCCTTACTGGATCGATCTGGTTTTTGGATTCAGACAGACTGGGAAACCAGCAGTGGAGGCAATCAATGTTTTTCATCCTGCCACTTATTACGGCTTTAATGTCGATCAGATTGAGGATCCAGCTGAGAGAGAGGCATGGGAGACGATGGTGAAGACTTATGGCCAGACACCAGCCCAACTCTTCAGGGGTTCGCATCCTCTGCCCATTCCCAGTGTCTTAAATTCAATTCCTGCCAGCAGTGTTCCCCCAGTGATTGAAGGAGTTGATGGGATCAAGTGGGGAAATTACGTGGGAGCACCAGGAAATGAACCTGTCCTCTGTTGGAAGAATAAACATCGAGCCCCAATGGCATCGCTCGTTCCACTTTCTACTGGGGATGTATTTGGCCTTTCTGTCTGCACAACTTTATTACTGGGCTATACCAAGGACAAGGGTAGCAATATGTTAAGTGCAACATCGGTTTTGGGGGCTGCACTGGCCTCCTGGAGTGGAAATGATGGAATTGTCAGGCTCAAATGCAAAAAAGAACAGCCACCCAGACCTCTCATAAAAAGCTCGGCTTTTGATCCAATAACTGTTCTCGGATCTGCCGCTGATTGTGGAGAATTGTGGGTTGGGCAACTCTCGGGGAGAATTACTGTGCATTCCTATAATATCGAGGCTGCTGGCAAAATAGAATTCGGTACGGGACCAGCGTCCGTTTTATTGGCACACAGATGTGCGGTTAGAGTTATTGCCCTCTCCAGAGCATTCAGCATCGCTGTTAGTGGAGATGATGAAGGGGTCATCGTCATCTGGGATTTGAACAGGTGGGAATATATATATATTCTTTTCTCCGGGTGATTTTAATACTTTATGTGTATTTAATACTTTATTTTTCAGCTTATCTTATGTGAGATCAATAGTCTGTGATGGTACACACATGATTAGTCTCCTGTCAATCAGTGAAACACTGGGAGATATTGCAGTGACTTGTAAATTAAAAGAGGAGAGCAATGATCATCGATCTGAATTGCGTGTTTACACGATTAATGCTAGAGCCGTAGGATCTGTCCTGTCCAGAAGGAGAATAACAGCTTTGTGCTACAGCAATGCACCTGAGGGTGTATCTGTGAATGTTATAGCCACTGGACTGGATAATGGCGTGATAAGACTGTGGAGTAGTTGGGATCTGAGACTTGTTCGAGAAATAGTTAATGGTGGTAAAGGCTATGGTGCAATTATTTCTATAGCCTGGGCCCTTGATCAGCATCACCTCTATGCAGCAACTGAAGACTCAACTGTATTAATCTGGGAGGGAATGAGACGCCTCAGCAATGGAACCCCAAAATTCGTTAATCTCACGTCACTCTAATCAAAAAATTCACTCATATTGCAGGAGTCCAAATTACGTGATATATAGGATTATTTGTTGTTTTATCAATATTCGACTATTGAGTCGTATAATCGACATTATCAATTCCAGAGTCATGTATTTTTAATAGTGAAATCCATCTCGTACTGATTAATTGTTAATATTCGTATTCGATTTAAGTGGTGAAATGATAAAGCGAGATAGATGAAATATTTAGTTAATGGAAAATTGAAAAATATTAAATTCAATTTATCTCAATTCACCATTTCGCTACGAATTATATCGAGCCAAAGCGTCGTTTCCAACGAATCGTTGATTATTCTAAATAATTATACCGAACAAATAAATCAAGCCGAGTCCTTTTTAAAAATATAATTAAAGTAATAATTAAGATACGTTTATACTATGAACAACGATTTTATCTACAATAGTATTATTTTATAATGACTTTCTATTCATCAATACTCGATCGTGATGCTTCTAGTGATAGATTTATAATTATTATAATTGTTTATCCTCTCTATTTTTATCCTCTGATACTTCCCAGTTTAAATTCTCGATATTGAAAGAATTTCTTATTAATGATGAAATATTTATGAATATAAAATGGCAATGAATGAATAAAGTCGTATTTCCGTTGAAAAATGTAAAAATTAGTGAGATTGATTTATTGAACAATGGTAACATGTTAAATTTCGTTCAAACAAGGCTCTATCATCTCGAACAATGGATAATATTTTCCTGTCCTCTCGGCGATCATTTGGGGTGTGTCACCACTGGAATTCACTGCTGTTTTATTAACATCGGGATGGAGGAGGAGTAGCTGAAGGGCTGGGGAATTGTGAGAACTTGCACACACCAGGTGAAGTGGTGATTGATTTCCATTGGTCATGGCATTAACGTTAGCACCATTGGAGATGAGCATGGAGATGCAATCTACGTTGTTCCAGCAACAGGCAGAGTGCAAAGGCTCCCAGCCATCGATTGTCTTTGCATCTATCTTAGCCCCTCTCGACAGTAAATACTGTTAAATTAAATAAATGGTACGTATTAAATTTTGCGGTGATTATTTCATTCACATTTTCTCTCTGCAAATACATGAATACATACATGAATTATATTGACGTGGTTACCATAACAGGCTCTGTGCAGTGGGGTATATCCATCCTTATCAATGACATTCATCAGATCTGGATTTTTATCCAGAAGGATCTCTAATCTCTTCATATTTCCCTTCTCTGCAGCGAGCAATACACCCCTCGCATCGGCATCTGAATTATTTCATTCGGTAACTAGAGAGTAATATATAGTTGTATATATTGAGTATATATTGTGGATATATTGAGGAAATTTCTGGAAAATGGGTCAACAGCTGATACGCGGCATTTAAAAATTAAAACAACTCATAAAATGTGAATGAATATTAGGGGGGATTATTATATTCCTCTGAGCTCTTCAGGAATTCCTAACCTTCAGGGTTTCGTTGCGGCTCGATTCCGTCGTTGTCATCCTCCCAGGCACTTACATGCATCCTCTCACTTGGTGGTAAACTCATGAATTTATCACGAATCTTCTCCAAATCCTGGACTTCATCGTTTTCCTCATCAGACGACATTTCGGTGGGATTTCTAAGTGGATTTTTATTGCCTGTGAATCATTGGATGTGTTTGACAGCTTGAGGAGGTTTGAAGCACATGGCGGTGGTGGGGGGCCGGAAGTGATGATTAAACCGGATACATGAGACTATGAAGTGCATCTGAAATTGCATCGGGAGAAATTAAATAGAGTAATTTATGCTACAAGGGCTGAAAAGCATTTTGACAACACAAATTATTAATGATACTTCTCAAAATATAATATTACTCGATTTTCTTTTATTTTTCATTTACCAGAGATTTTATTTTTCTCATAATCCTTAAAAACCCATGGAGTGCACAAAATTACAAGACGTTGCAGAGAAAATCGGTTACACTGGTGTCTGCATCGGAGCAGAGAGAGTCCAACTCCTCAGGAATTCTCTCCTAACATTGCAGAATGAAAATCATTTCCGAAAGACATATTACTGGGGTAGAATCAACGGAACTGATAACGATTATCACATTGCCTTTGGTTATGCTAAAGATTGTTTGAAAGACCGACGATTTTTCTACAGGTAATTTCCTAAATCTCTCTTAAACATGACTGATTATGTTTCACAATAATTTATTCCTTTTTTCAATTACTGTACAATTTACAGTTTAGATTGTTTAGACTGGTTTTTACTTCCAAGACCGACTAAATGCGGAAAATTACTGACACCATTATCACCAACTCTCTTCGATGGGAATCCATCGATAGTCACCAATATCAGTAAAAATCCAGCCTTTTCAGCGGCTAAAAATAGGACTGAATTTGGTGAGGTATGATCGATAAAATCATTAACAAATTTAGCGAATTTAACACGTCCGTAAATTCGAAGGGACCACCTCAATTCCTAAAGGAAGAAGATCGCTTATCTGCAACCGTTGAATTTATAACAGAGGAATCTCTGATAATTCCCCGAGGCGCTTGGTGCAGGCGTCCAGACGGATCCACAACCGAAAATAATGCATTCGAGGGTCTAGACCCTATCGAATCGTTGGACCAAAAGTCGTATCTCCACGCACGTTTTCCGAAAGAGAAATGGACGGAAAATCTCCTAACGAGAAATGACTACAATTATTCATTAGATTTTCTGGATCCCACGTCTATAGATATCCCAGGAGGTAGAGTGTAATTATCTTTTATGAAAATGATTGAATAATTAATTCCAATTATTTCTTCATCATTTTTGTAGAGTGCTGGAATATTCAGAGATACTTAGGCTCTCGTCTAATTATCCTGCAAAACCTTTACTGGCCTGGTATGACGTTTTATCACATCCCAGAATCACCTCATCACGGTTTTCTGTACATCGGATATGGAATGAAAAATATAAATCTACCATTTATGCTTTAGAGTATTCTCCAACATAAAAAATAATAATAATCCGAATAATTACTGACATTATTGCTATTAAATTCTAATTCTTTCCACTCATTCAATTGAAAAACCAAAAATTCATTGACTGATGAGAATAAATAAAAAATTATCGAACAGGAATAAATCCCAATGGATTTTTCATATTTGAAATTTCTATGGGAATTTTTCTGGAAAAAGGAGGATAATAGATTGAATTTTTTAATACGTGTGAGAATAACGAGATCTAGGCATGATCGTAAATAGAATCGATCAGTAAATAGATCGAGCCATGTATCGTTCTCTCTTTTCCACGGGGTAATGGACGATGATATATTTGGGTTTGATGTAAGTGGGATGGATACAAAGGTGTGTATGATTGTCTTTGGCAAGATTATCGTGACACCGTTTTCATCAGCGAGTGAAGCGCCACAGAAGCTGTTCCCACTTGGTGATCAATCTCAGTTAATTAATTAGTTCGGTGGTGTCCAGGGGACAATTGCTCACAAACCGATAAAAAAAAGGGTCAAAAGAGGGTGCATCACAGCCTGACGTTTATCGATGATTCATCAAGATAATCGATCTCATATTCCCAGTTAGATGTTGATTAATAAGATTTTACTGGCAAGTATCACTTTGATTTCCCCTTCCCCTTGTTGCGCATTAGAAATGTATTAGATGGAGGTCGAATGAGATAACGTCGAGGCAATGATCGCCAGATCTTCCGTCTTTGCGAAAGTATTTTCATAGCCAAATCAGTCCGGTCAATGCCCAACCATTTATCACATACGTATTTTTATCGTCATATTGTATTCAATTACGTAATCCGGAAAAATCAGTGAATGAGTTGGGAGCCTATTTCCAAATTCATTACGACACTATTTCATATTTAATTATAGATTAGAAATGTTTCGCACAATTTGTTCTCGTTACGATTCCATTTTTCGTTGTATTTCGAATATCAATTCGATACTAAAATTCGCTGATTAATTTCAGATGTAGAAGAGATGTCGATCATTAATATAAAATTATCAAAATTTGATAATACACCATGGGGCTTTCGACTGGTGGGGGGAAGTGATTTTCCCCAGCCACTGACTGTCATAAGGGTAAATGCAACGAGTATTTTTCAAGTATCTGTAATTGTTGGTGAGTTTTGCAAGGCTATCCGATATTTTGTAGGTAGCAGAGGGAAGTCTTGCGGAATGTATGGGTCTGAGAGTTGGAGATGTTGTAGTACGACTCAATGATGATCCAGTGAGCAAATTGACTCACGGCGAAGCTCACGAGACACTTGTACAAGCTGGAAATAATTTCACTCTCGTCGTCCACAGGTAAATCAATGTTTCACCGAATTAACGAGACATTTGGTGTTCTAATAAATTCATATGCGACCAGCAGATAAATATCCAGAAATAAACGAGAAAAAGAGGTGGAGAGATGATTAAACGTCTTTTTAATTGACGAATGCCATTTCAAGGTTTAAATAACTCACATTGAAATGTGAGGCCTTGACCGTAAATATTTTAATTCACCAATCAGAGTCAAGTTCGAAATAATTGCTTTTAATAACTCGCATCGAGTCTTTAGTTCAATCATTGCGACTGATCGATCACAATCGACTGCTGTGGCTCGTCGATTATTATTTTATTACCAATTTTCTTTCTTTTTTTTTTCATTTGCATTGTCATTTAGAGGCGAAGAGGCCCGACAAGTGGCTGAGGCTATTCAGGAGGAAAATATTGTACCTTATAAACCTGTGAGTGAATTTCTATCTGAAAATAGTGGAAACTATGTAGATAAATAAAAGTCGGGGGATAGTAACTATTGATCTAATGGAAAATCAGAAATTTCAAGACGAGACGAAAAAAATATTCATATTTATACTAATTATTGATCAATAAAAATTGTCAATTTTGAGAGAAAACTCTAAGATGATACATTTGATTGATGTAAATTGATCACTCTGTAGAATAATTTGATGTAATGGTTACTAAGCTCAATAGAAATTACGTAATCCGTTGGTTTATTTAATTATTATTACCCCCTCCCGATTGACAATTATCTCGAGAAATGGAATAATCGGTTGTTATGCAGATCGATGAAGTTAAAGCGTTGAAAGCACTTGTTGAAGACTTGAGAGATCCTGAGGAATTGCCACCCCTGGATGGACCATCTCTGGAGGACAGATCTGATGACGAAGAGGAGATAAAGTGGGAAACACCTAAAATACAAGAGGATAAACCTAAAATCGAGGAAATAAAAGAGCCATCGCCACCGCCAACTCGTCGAGATCCAAACATTGAACCGGTGCCAAATAAAAATCTAACTGAAGAAGAAATAGCTGAGTTGATTATCGAAGAGGAAGAGTTACTCGAGGTTGAGGACAAAGCAGTTCTTGGGTAAGAACATGTCAAAGCCCATATAATAAATAAAGAAATATTTTTAGATTTAAATTAACGATAATTAAAAATTGTTAATATTTTTTTAAATATTTCAATTAATCAATTGCAGAGTGAATTTCAATAAAATTCGTCCACGCGCTCCGATTTTACGCGAGTCAAAAGTCCTGGAGGAGCTGCAAAAAATCGCAATCGAAGAGCCCCCGAGGGTCCAAGAGCTGAAGCATCAGACGACATTTCTGCAAAAGCCAGAGAGACCAATTCCAGCTCCAAAGAAGAAAGAGGAACCGCAAGATCAAGCAGAGGGATATCGCGTTATAATAAAAAAGCAACCGAAGAAGAGTGTTACCGAGAAATTAGCGCAACGTGGTCTACTAAAAACTCCAGAACCCCATTATCTTCAGGAGGAGGTGATTCCCCCAGGAACACCAGATACCCGTGAAATGTCTAGACCCGAGTCGTCAGCCTCTGGTCCCAGAATCGTGGAAATACCGATTGAAGTCGAGGGTCGGCCTTCGTCGAAGACCTCGAGTCATCCTCGCAGTGATGGCCCAAGTGATGACGAGAGATGTCCATCTCGTTGCGAAAGTCATCGGGAGGCCACGCCGGAGCCAGAGTTAGAGCCCGTGCCTGTGCCTGTGCCTGTGCCTGAGCCTGAGCCACAGCTGGCGCCAATTTTTGATAAAGAGAAGGTCAAGGCCCTTGTCTCAACGGAGATCAATTTGGAGAAGCAATTGGAGAGCGTTCAGAATCAATTGTTGGCGTTAAAACAACTTCCCAGTGAAATAGAAAATCATCTGAGAATTGTCTCGGAACAATTGCACAGAATTATGGAACTCAGTGGAGTGCAGAGTAGTGAGAACAGCTCACGGAGGGGTTCTTCAGGTATTTTATCCTCTATTGACAATTTTTTAGTTGAAGATCTTTTTTTCTCCTCCATTTTTCAATTAAATTGATCAGATTTTTCCAAATATTTCAATGGAAATCGAACGGCATTTTATAGATATTATTAAATTGTTTTATGGATTTTTATTTCAAACGCATCGATATTTTTTACAACTTTTTCTAGTGGTATCGAATGTTTGGCCTATTTTTACGACTTTGTCCTCTATCGGATTATCCCCACCCCAGGTTTATCGAGTCAATAATACCCTCGCAGCTTGTGCTATAAAAAATTCCGCCCACACGAGATTAATGTATCATCCTCAAGAGTTTTCGTCAACATCAAACGGGCGCAATATAGAAAATTTTTTATAAATTTATGATATTCCATCAGCTTTGAATTTTCCTTAAACGAGACAGCACTACACTCAATTGATGATAGAAATTGAGGATTAATTTATAATGTTGGTATTCAACATTACAATTATAATTTTACAGACGAGAAGATGGAGAAATGTGCGCAGGAGGAGGAGAGGGTGAGTCCTGAGGCTTGCAAGGATGAAGATGAGGATCATCTTCGAGTTTCAGAATCCGAGGTGTCAAGGTCATCACCAGCGACTGTTATCAGTGAGCCACCATCTATTATCGAGCCTCAATCAGAAATGGAACAAGTGGGAGAGTCCGAAACGAGTGAAATGGAAGTGACCCTCAAGGATGATGAGCACAGGGTGAAGAAATACATTGCTTCATACGAGACAAAGATGTTCAGATCTCGTGATCCCAGTCCTGCTCCGTCACACGGTAAAATAAATATTTCTATCGATTTCAATAATAAATAAGTCCAGTGTAGTTTTGAGATTTATAATGCTGGTCGATGATTGAATTGAAAGAGAACATTTTTTGAAAAAAAAATAGGAAGTTACGAACCAGATCCAAACATGTCACCGAAAGACCAAGTTATACAGGAATTGAAGGTACATTGGCTGTTAGAGGCTGTTACCCGAGTGTCTAAAAAAGACTGACCTCGTCACAATTTTAAATTACATCCTCTGAATATTCCATCTGTCGCCTCTAACTCACCGAGATGTATGATTTCCTTGTAATTTTCCCAAATCTCTTGTGTCTTCTCAACGTGATTACACATCTGGCACGATGCGTGTGAAAAAAAATTCTATAGAAAAACTCGATTTCTCTCATTTCTCGTTGAAATTCACCTGCAATCCAATTAGAATAGATTCCAATAAATTTCGAGAGCATTCCGTTGTGGATTTATAGATAATAAGATATTCGTGGTATTCTATTCGTTCATTCCCAGATGCCCGTTGTCCGTTAATTCTGATATCTTCCTTTATATCACAATGATAATGCATGAAATCTCGATCGAGTCACCGATTGTGAAACTTTCCAATCGCTCTGGGACGTGACAAATACGTCAGGAAGAGTGAAATAATAGTGTGATTGACGTGTAATTAAAATGATCGTTCGATCCGGCAGCACAGGGGAGGAAGAAAGCGATCGCACGATCTCTGGCCCCAGGCTAAACAGCTGGAGCTCACGTATGGACGAAGATGGAGGTGTCCAAATGATTTCTTCAATGATGAAATGATAGCTGAGGTATTGTCGGGACAGGCGGAAGTCATACGCGGCAAAGCACTTGGGTAACTATCACCGACTGAAATTGTACACATTTTCTTTTCAATTTGTTACTTTCCCCATTTTTTTCATTCTGAATTGAATATCTCAGAGGAGATAGTCAAGTTTTTGCACAGAAAATCTTTGATAGTGCGGGGATTTTTTTATTTTCTTCTGAAGGTGCATAAATCACTCTGATTATTCCACTCAGGGTTAATTTCAAAAAATACGAGAAAGCCTGGCTACCGAATTACGATCACTTAATGAACTCGAGTGTATACAAGATGCTGCATAAGATGGAGCGTGAGCCAAAAACTGGAATTCCTGCTCGGCCACCCAAGGTCGTAGCTGCTGAAGACATACTCGAGAGAGTTGTACGTTTTAAATGATAGTACATTTTATCTGCACGTCTTATCCACTGATAATTATCAATAGAAAGAACAAACGAAATTTTAAAGGACGATATTAATAGCTCACTGATTTTTTTCGTTCTAGAAAACACCGGCCTGAGACAACAGATGGATCACTACTGAATCAATTAATTCGTGATTAAATAAATCAAGAATTCAACCATAAATTTAATGTTAATTAATATTAATGCAATTAACGTGGAGTTTATTCTGTGATGAATTTAATTCGTCGGAATATGAATGTGTCCTAAATTTTTTTTGTATTTAATTCGATCTGTTGAATTTGAAGAAAAAATAAAATATGTTGGAGTTAGTCGTGCTGTCTACGGTTATTATGCCTCGATAAAATCATCGGTGGTATTTTGGTTGTTAATAAAAAATTGTTTAAAAATTTTTTAGCAGGGAAATGATGAGTAATTGAAAATCTTCTCAATATTTGAGAATAATCTCGCAGTGATTTAATCTGTTATCTACAGGCCGTGAATCTCTTCCAGGTTGAATTGAAAAGGTAATCAATTATGTGATTGATTAAGAAATCCATTGTATCTATTATCTGACGGTAAATAGACCGAAATTTAATTATCCAAATCTAATCAATTTATATGAATTCAATCTATTTATTGTTTCTCGGAAGTTTCTGAATTATCAAACAAACCAAAATCTTGATTGTTTATTTTAATATAAAAAAGGAAAAGTTGACTGAATGATGGAAAAAATGTTCTATTGAAGGAATTCCCAACTCCAGCTGTCAAGTGTCAAAGAATGTGCTCCTTTCAATACATCACCTGATGACACAGCTGTTCCCCCACTCGGAATACTTGTGATATGACGAATGAAAAAAATCTCCCGCGACCCAGATGATGTGTCAAGGTATAACCAGTGGTTGAGTCACATATACGGACTTCTGGGGTCTATCCCGATGTAATCCACTCTCAAAACTCCAAACCAATTCTATCTTTCTCCATGTGCCTCTAGCCATACACCAAGAGGAGAGCGTGACGTACACTCAAAACAATTTATGTAAAGTATTCTAGGCATGATTCACGAACTAGTTTGCGCACTCGTGACTGCCACGGGCGCATTATAATGCAATATAATCTTTAATCAAAATATTTTACCCCTACTGAGCCTCGAGTGGCTCCTCTCATCACAATTTTCACTTAATTAATTACGAGAAATGGATGATTTGTGGGAGAATTATTCCACTGGCATTTTAAAAATCAAATTATAATAGTGGATGTTACATGTCAATTTAACAAATGTAGAATTAATTTTTTTAAATTGATAGCAGTATAATTTTTGGTGGATAACTCTCGAGGGTTTTGTATCGGTTTATTTTTTATGCAGGAAATTTATGAAAATAGCGATTGTGTGGGGTGAGGGATTGGCAGATACCGCCTTGTTTTGATGATGATGCTTCCGCATGTTGCGCCAGGTGTTGCTTTTCATTGCTTGCCACCCGTTGTGCATCGCGTAATTCATTCTCAGACACACGAGTTACTGTCAGATAATTAAACAAACGGATACGAATGAAAGAAATCCCCAGAAATTCAAGAGCACTTGGTGCTCGAATTGCTGAAGGGAAAGTTGGGGATTTTCCCTCGAGGGAAATATCGGAGCTCACGGAGAAATAGATAATCCCTTTTTTTTTTATTTTAATGAGGAAAGACCTTGCGATGAGGTCGGGGCGGAGAGTAATATCTCCATGAACTCTCGCGTCTTGAACATGAAGTGAGATGGATGAAACTCGAGAAGATTGGAAAGTCAGTGAAAGGGAAAAATGAAAAGGAAGCAATGAGACAAGTGTAAATATCGTATTGTATCCCGTTTTATTTATTTTGTACTTGCAATTGGGCGGGAGAATTTATTAATATATTTACCCTGGGGTCTGATAATTCCCCGAATTTTCGCTCTGATTTCGGGTATAAAGAATGAATTAAAATTGTTACCCGATTAATAACATAATTTATGACAATGTCACGGTAAATTTTATGATAATTTTTTCGTGTGACTTGGAGCATAAATTTCGGAGGATTAACTTTGTTATATTTATAACTTTTTTATTGTATTTTCATGTCAGGCATTTCGAAGCAATTTCTTTTGGCTCTCAAAAAAAAACATAAAGAAATTTGTCCTTCTCGCGGTGGATTACAGGTGAATTTACACCCTGACAATGTAGTATTTATGCCTGATACCTGACAAATAATAAAATGTAAACATTCATGTTTGGTGTGCGATTCTGAATTTCTCTACCAGTTGTATTTGTATATATACCGGGCTCATATACATTGTGACATAAATATTTATGGGTAAGAGTGCAAACGGCTGACAATGGACCCGTATGGTATCGGCGGTGGGGCTTTAAAACCTTCCTCCATACTTTAAGGAGAGCTGGAGGAAAAAGGAGCAGAAAGGAGGAAAAAGGAGTCGGAACTGAGTGGAAAAAAAAAAGAGGGAAAATGAAGGAAAGGAAAGGAGGTGGTGGAGGAGGTGGAGGAGGTGGAGGAGGTGGAGGAGGTGGAGGAGGTGGAGGAGGTGGATGAGGTGGTGGTGGTGGTGGAGGAAGAGGAGGAGGAGGAGGAGGTGAATAAAAGAGTAAAAAAAATAAGAAGGAAAAGGAGATGAGGAGAGGTAGGACAGATAGAGTGAAATGTTGAGAATGCTGCCATCCCAAGTACCACCACCATATGAAAAGCCAATACCACCACCAATTGCCTGGTTTTGAATCAGACGCACGCGCTCTTTCGTACCGCTTGCCTCGTTTGAAATCGCGTGGAAAAGACTTGCCCGAATGACCAGACAGTTTCAACATTTACTTCGGTTTTTGCGTTTACCCAGTGACTATCGTATTTCGTTTTGTGGCCGGATTGACTCTGGGGGTAAAAATTAGCCTCTCTTTAAGTTACGCCCATGTTTTTTTTTATATTTATTTATAACCACTGGATATTTATATTTGTAACACGCGTGCATACGAGTGCGTGAAACGAACGTTTATTCTGGAGTTACGAACGAGACGAGGAAGATTCAACGATCCGATTATTATTTTATTTTTTTTTTCAATTTCCAAGTGAATAATTCGTTGATTTATTGTTTATGAAGTTGTAATTTCGTTTGATATTGAATATTGACGAGTGCGAAGGGAGAAAAAAATTGACTTTTGCTGGAGAATTCATATCGACTGGGAATTTTATTTCAGTTATATTTTTTATTATTATTTTTTTTTGTGAGTGATATGGCGCAGCTGATAAGCGTCAAGCTATCGAGATTCGATGGCTCCCCATGGGGATTTCGTTTGCAGGGTGGAAAGGACTTTGGCACACCATTAATTGTGCAAAAGGTTTGTTCACATTTTTATTCTCTTTGGGATTTATTTAGTTCTGTTTTAACACCAGAAATACATTTGGAAATATGATAGGGTACTTTACGGTAAACCAAATTCATCGTTCCCGCCTGCTCTCCCATTTGGAATGTCTAAAGAAATGTCTCGAGTGTTGTCGACGATTCCCTCTCCACTTACTAATGAACATTCTAAAAAAACTATTACGTAAGGACTAATACGAACGCCAAATTTCACGCACATCGACAGAAATCCCTGCCAACTACAAGTGGTGGATTTTCTGAGACGAAATTTGGCATCGGAGCGATACGTCCCGAGGAGTAACTTGAGACGGGTTCACTCAAAATTTACCATAAACTTCAATATTTTTAATTTTTCCACCATTTTATTTATTTCAACAGCTTCCGGAATATCCGCACATCGGTTGAGTGCCTGACTGTAATTATTTACGAATCACTGCCACCGAAATTTTCAAATGTTTACAAAAAAATAGAAATTGCAAAACACGGAGGGAAAATTCCGGTAAAATTTATACTGATGCTTATGACATTGCAATAAATAATTTCACGATTTTGTCGCAATTAAATGTAATATATGAGGAAAAGTGTCTCCTGATCCGTCAAAAATTCCCACGAGTAAAAAAACACTTTATAATAATATTTTATCAAGAGTTTCTCGAACGGAGTGGAATAAAATAGCTTTTCAAGTGCGAGGACTAGAATTCGATGATGAAAATAACAATAGCAATTACCATATCGAAAAACCGAAGGGATGAAGTGGAAAATTATAGTCCCGGCGTCACCGGTAATTCGAGGCAAATTATTTGGGTGTTCTATTTCTAGAAGGTGCCTTTGCGAAACTTCCCGGAGCTTTGCAAACAGCTCTGCAATTCTCTCCCAGGCGAATCTACCCGATTGTTTTTTTTCCTCAATTCAATACGGAATTAAATTGTTCACCCACATAATGAGTTGCCACTGAATCCCGCGATTGCAAAAAATAATAAATTCCAAAGTAATATTGAGAATGAATTTCGCTGGGTGGAAAACCGCCTGCCACATCCGCTGATTATTTCTGTCGATGGTCTTGAGATTTAAAGCGCAAAAAAATAATACGCGGAAAAAATGTCACACACTGGCATTGTCTTTTTATTTTATGTGAGGATTAGCGATAGGGCTGAGGTGTTTTTAAGTAGCCGAGAAGATAGCAATGGTCAGTTCGTTATCATGGCAAATGGACAAGGTCTCATCGACACGTATAAATATTACATCGCAATGTAATCGTCCGGAACTCGCATTACGATAACGTACACTATTTTACTATTTTTACGTACGTGAGTTACCGTAAAACAATTTTTCAACGCAATTTCCCGGAATTATACTGAATTCATTTCCAAAAAATCGCGCAACTGTTAATTAATTTAATTGATAATGCTACAACTTTGAACTTTTAACTAATGGTAATCGGAAATTTTCTGGTTAATGATAGGAAATTTTCTGTGATTTGAGGAATTTTTTGAGGTAAACTGCGGTTTTCTGTGGTTGTAGGACAGATCATGCGGATTTCTGTCGAGTATTGGTCCAAACTACCCGGAACAAATTTCTATATGATACCTGGTTGCAACGGCCAATGATCGTGTCTTTGGCTGACCACAGGTATATATGTACATGAATATATATCGGGTATATACAGCCTCCTACGATCGCTATCGCTTTTGTTATTTTATGCGCACCATCTCTAACGACAATGCGATACTCGGAACAATTTCCATAGGATTTCGATTTAGCCTTCACCGATTCAATATTTTTAAACTGTTTTTCACCGGAAATATTATGTAAGGTTCAATGTACCCATTGAATATTTTTTTAAAATGCGAAAAAAATGTCTTTGAGAATGTTAAATTAATTTCATAATTTCGTCTCCAGTGATGATGTGATTACAGAATTACTTTCAAATTTCCCATTGAATGGTTGAAAAATGGAAAAACCACGGGGACAATTGGAAAATAATTCGCCGACGAAACGGAAAATTCGCGTGGGTGTTACTGACGTCGTCGACGGGTTTTAGCGACGTCGTGCCGACGCAATGGATGATCGAACAACCGGAATATCCAATTGGTAACTCATTGCACACGGCACAGATATTTCAAATTTTTTTGAAGAATCCAAAAAAAAATTATTCCACTAATAACTCGTCCTCTGGCCCGAGGGCCTTCGCACCTACGAATTTCCAACGATCACTGTGTCAGGGTCGCGAATTATTCCGTATTTTTGGATGACACCAGAATATTGTAAACAGTTTTGCCATCACCCTTGGAATTTTTCCAATTACACTAAAGGGGAAGTAACTTCCGGTTGACGATTCGCTCCAGAATTTTTTCGTTATTTTTTGGAGAACGGGTTTTTCCTTGGGGAGGGTATCACAGGCCAGGATTGTACAACCGTCGAAAAGGGATGAGCTAAAAGCTCTCGGGCTGGTGGAGATATTAATAGAGATCGAGGCCCGGTTCCGTAGAACACCACACAAGTCTGTGGATATAAAAATATACTGCTTTTATTCAACGCCTTCGGTTGCCTCAATCCCATTTTTTTACTTCTCCCGATTCATCGGTGAAATCACTGTCATTCTGACTTAAAATCACGTCAAATCACCCCAGAAATCAAATAATTTTTATTTAAAATCTCGGTAAACATCACTTGCGGTGGAGATCGAAAGTTTCTGTAAATCCCGTATTACTCAATTCTCGGGGAGAAAAATAATGCGGGAAAGTAATCGAGTCATTGAAATATATAGCGCCATGTAATGAAAATTCCCAGCATTGGTCAGCACACGTAATGCGACACTCGTGATTTAATGTGCGTGTGCGTTTGTTACAATGCCAACAATTCACATGTACATTCAACATTTTGGCGCCTCCCCCTCTGCCCCCCTCCCCTTCCCTCTAAAAACGGCATTAATAACGTACATCCTTGAACTTCAGAGTCATAAAATGCTCATATATTTTTTTTCGGAAATTTTAATTGTCATTCCGATGATTTTATTTAATATTATTTGTATTTTTTTAAGTTTCCTATCAAAAAATCGAAAAATGGAAAAACCGCGGGAAACAATTAGGGAATAATTCCCCAATGAAACGGAAAATTCGATTTTCTTGCGTCTCGTGGAGGAAAAATGAATGAATGCTGGTGAAGTCTGATAAAAGTACGCGTCACCTAGAATTCCGAGTATGAATGATTGTCTGGTCGACCCCGGATATCCGTTTCCCCCCCCCCGGATTTCTCCGGAACTCGGGGAAATCGATTAATCGAAAGTAAACCCAAATATAAACATCCTCTCCACTTGTCCATAGCATTGATCCTCGTATCTCGATGGAGCTTTCCTTTTTCAATCCCAAGGTCCAGTCTGCGACCTTCGAGAAGACTCCTGGGATCCGTGACAACCCCCTTTTTCTCCTCCCACCTCCCACCTCCCACATCTCCCTCTCTTTCTCTCATCTTTTTTCATTTACTCTTGTTAGATCTATCGAAGAATGTGGTACAGCCGGTCGAATCATCAGCTTCTCTCTTAATATCTTCTTTCCAGTCTTTGTCATCTCCATTCATCAAAATTTATCAATCATAAACTTTTGAAACCAAATCTCTAGAATTTCGATTTAAAACTTTTTTAAGTTGAGAACAGAGAACACTTTTTAATTCACTTATTTTTTCAGCAGATTTTTTATTAGGGGATTTTTAAATCGATTGGATCTTATTACTGGGTCTTGAATTCAGTTAAATAGCGGAATAATCCGTTTAATTTAGTAAAACCTGTTTAACTAAATTTTTGCTTTCTCTTGAGCACTGGTTCATTGCCTTCGCATTCCACGTTGTCTAGCTAGTGTCTGCCGTTTACTTCCATTTTTTTTTATTACCCAATCCTATGACATTTAAAATGTTTATAAACTGCGCAGCCGAGAATTTTACATGACTCAACGCAACGATTCCTCAGTAAAAATTTGCATAAAAAAATGCGCCCAGTTTACAAGTCCGTAATGAGGAATTATTAATAAAAAAAATGGGGGAGTCGAGAATAAAAATGGAAATAGGAAGGGATGATTGTGAAAATCTTGACTAGCGATTGAATTCTGGAAATCAGTGAACCATCAGTAAAATAAAAATAAATAGAGACTTGTGGATTCACTTGTACAACGTGCACCACTGACTTGGGACAATGGAGTATGAGCGCATTGCGCGCACAAAAATAATTGCACATACGCCTCAAGGTCGATGGATGCGGGTACAATCGAGTGTAAAAATATTTACCCCATTATTAGGGGGAGCGTGCATTAAAAATCTTTTAATATCCCTGATAAATTGAATGGTGAACATTATAATGGAGGGCGCATAGACCGATAAACGGATGTCGATAAATCCTTCAGAAAAATTCAAGCTCTCTGTTCAGAAAAATAACAGTTTACCAGCTATAAAAAATTCTAGTGGTGTTACTAAAATTTCCGGTTATACTCTGCGAAAATTACAGTTTTCAGCGGAAATATTCAGTTTCCTCTATTTCAAAATTCTTCCCACATCTAATTTAATCATGATGCCAACAATTGAATTCCAATTGAATTCCAATTGAATTCCAATTGAATTCCAATTGAATTGCAGTTGAATTACAATTGAATTACGATTGAATTACAATTAATTAGATTAATTTAATTATTTGATGTTTTTTTTAAATTTAAAATTACAATAAAATGAGTGAAAATTAGTGATTTTGGTTTAGAATTTTGCAATTGATAGATTTGATTTTTTTAAGGGGGAGAATGTTGAGGATAAAGTGAAATAAAAATGAGAGTGAAAAGGTGCCGCAGGGCAGATGCATTCCAGCGTTTGGAAGGTGGGATGGATCCATCTGTGATAACTCGACCATTGGAATGCGCACACCTCTGCCTTTCTCATACCCACATGAGTTTTCAGATGAGAAGGGGCCAATGGATATTTTTAGAATGGTCCCCGATTATTTTTAGCCATTTTCACCGCACGTACCCCTCAGCCAAATTCACATGCCAATGCATTCTGGGCATGAGGACCCATTTATCAGGACATGCGGCTATTTTTGGGGGTAAAAATTAATTCCACCAGTGAATTCCATGTCATTCACGCTAAATCCAGTCACTTCCAAGATTTTTATTCAACTCTCGATGGAATTGCATTGAAAGATATTTCTCCCATTACATCTCCTCTCCAATAGTTTTTATTTTATTGGCATTCGAGGAACTTGTGATTTTATGAATGAATGCTCTATTCTCGGGATTTTAATTTAACGGATTTAAATATAAAACGTCTAGTCTTGCTGGAAATATTTACATGAAGTCACTACTAAACACTAACACCAGAGATATTCGTCCCAGAAATAGCAAAAATAGAAGTCAACATGTGCCCGCGGGCCTTAACTATCAATTAAACTTTGAAGTTTCACATCACCTGTTGAAATTTATTAACATCAATTAAAGCAATGGCGCCAGTCAACGAAGTAACTGAACCAAGATGCGGTAAATAAATAGATTATTCATGGCTTGCATTACTAATTCGTCCTGGACTTAATTTCGAACTGGGAGAAATTACTTGTGAAATTGGTAACATTCGCTTGTCCAAAGGCATTCACCATTTACTCCACATATTATAAATATTATAAATAAAAATGAGATCACTCTTTTCATTCTATATTCTCAAATATATAAATATTCATGATATTGTTTCAATAATTCTCAACAATTAATTTCTATTCTATAATATTTATGATGCCTATGAAGCAGAAGAAAAAAAATAATCTAGATCATGTCGGGTAAACGGAAGTATTTACAGTTAAATGTTAAGAGGTATTCCAAAAATAGACGTTAAAATGACGGAGGAAAAAGCCAGACCACTAATATAACGCGGTCTATCAAATTGGAATTTTGACGTAACCATTTATTTTTCACGTAACCATTTAAGCCTGACTGACAGTACAAGTAACTAAAGCGTATCTCAAAGACCTCAGAAGAAAAAAACCACCGATGGATGTCATAAAACAAATCTGAAAATGGAAGAAGGACAAAAGCCGTTAAATTTGCGTGCATTTAACAGAGAGCGAAATAACGACTGAACGGAAGCATTTTACGGCCACACGGGTAAATGCTCGTATATTCTGGACAATTTGGCAGTGCGCCAGAAAAGTTAGTCCCAGGGGTGAGAAATCACGCGAGGAAAATTATCACAACGGGGAAAAAAAATAAAATGCAAGAGTTGGTTTTGTCTACAAAGTGAGTGAGCGATTCGCTAATCAATTGAGAAGTTCTAAATTAATGAAAATATTCGGGTCGTTGACTCCATCGTGTCTTAAATTTAATTTCCGAATAACTTACACAATTAACAATTCAATATTTCTTATCAAGAGACAACAAACAAATCTCGACCTCACGAATGAGCTTTGCGTGGATAAAATTGAATCAGTCAAGGGGAGATATTATTAATATAGAAATTAATTTCTGGAATTGAACAATGATGATTAAAAAACAATATTCAGGTGAACAATGGATCACCAGCAGAGGCGGCAGGTCTGCGAGCTGGTGATGCAGTGATCAAAGTTAATAACACGGAAATGTTCAGTCTGAGGCACAAGGATGCCCAGGATGTGATTGTCAGAGCTGGCAACAGCTTCGAAGTGACTGTCCAAAGGTGGGTACCAGAACATATGCCCCCATCACCTTAAGATATCAACCTCACCCCCTGAGTTTTAATTAAAAAAATATTTTACAGGGGTGGAAGCACCTGGAGACCAAGTGTTTCACCAGTTACACCTTCGATCCCCTCACCGCAGCCCCACGCACCCATCGGCAATATTTCTCCAGTGACAAAAACATCACTTGCTGCTAAAAAACAAGAGGGGCCCCTCATCGGTAGTGGACACAATTTCAGTCCAAAGCCCTTCGTAAGTCAAGGATCCATCATCATATATCGTTATATTTCCGATTATTTGCCAATGATTGATAAATTATGGATTTTTTAACAGTTGAATGGAAGCAGTGAGTCTGGACCCATAAAGTCAATAGTAAACAAGCAGTATAACAGCCCAGTTGGCATTTACAGCGAGCAGACAATAGCTGAGACCCTCTCAGCACAAGCTGAAGTGCTGGCAGGTGGTGTTCTTGGGTAAGTCAAATAAATTAACATGCCAAAATGCTATTCTAGCCCTCCCAGAATATCGTCCGAATAATTGAAAATCAGTTGTGCAGTGAAATCATTTCAATTTTACAATTCCCAGTTTTTTTTCCAAATTCCACCGAATCTGGTGGCAAAGAAAAGCTATTAAATATTCCTATTCGATTGGCGATTGATAATCAGTTGAACTGGTAGGAATAAAGTAATCTGTTCAATTTTCAGTGTGAATTTCAAGAAAAATGAGAAAAATTACAACGCCCAGAACAGCGAAGTGTTTAAAATGGTGCAGGAGGCGGACAAGGAGCCAAGGAGCCCAGAGCCTGGTGAGTATGCTCAATGAATTGTTATTAATGATAAAATAATATGAAAAATATTAGCTGAGCCAGTGCAAACTAGTGGTGTGGTGACGCCATCCTCACCAGCTTTGGCTGGATTGAGGTCGGTGGCCGCCCCAGAGACCAAACCCCAGCCAACGACACCACAGACTAGCCTCCCACCAGGTCAAAATATTTGCGCCGAGTGTGAGAGACTCATCGTGTAAGAATCCTATCATTTTCCATTATTTTACAGCCTCAAGTGAACAATGTCGACTTGCAGTCTCATGAGCAACATCGGCCAGGGGCGCATTCAGATTATTTCATCCTATCATTCCAATTGTGCACTCTACTCCCATATATTTCTAGGACAATTAGCTATTACTCCTGAAACTCTCCCTCCCTTTGTTTCAAATGGAAAATCCATATATAAATTTATCCTGATATTTAATAATCGTACGTTGGCGTAAAATTTGAATTTTTGTGGAAAAAATGTAGATTCAGTGGGAATTACCCATTTTTTTGGGGTATCAAGGCCAATGGATTGATTATTAAAGATCCGAGTGAATTCAGCGGGTAGTTGGCTGCATGTGTGGGATAATTGAGGGATGATTTTTTTACTGATGAATTGTCACAGTTCCTTGCCGCACCGAGTTTTACTCATCAGTGAGCAAGGCTATTGGTGGTCATGCAACATCACCACGATCACCAACACCCATTGGTCGTGCTATGGGATACATTCATCCAGCTCTATCACTTCGTGATGATGGCCAATCAGGTGACGAGCATCTTCGTCTTGGGCAGTCATCGCGAGCTTCGTCAACGTCAGAACGTGACAAACGTGACACATACGAGACGACTTTTTGCCACGGCTGTGACTCCCCAATCGTGTAATTATCTCACCACCAATGAGCTTTGAAATCTTGATAATCACCGGCTTTTGGTGGATCAATCAATCGCCCTCGCTGACTGAACAATCGGCACGAACAATTAATTTTTGTCTTTTCAAGATTACCAGAAAAATCTGTGTAATTTCGTAAAGACATAAATTTTCATCATTTCTTTTCTATTCTCATGTTCTCATGACTCTTCAATTACTTTCTTTTCTCCTACGCATATGCAGCCAGTTGACTCACCACTGACTCATCATCAATATTTTTACCGCTTATTTATTCTTTTTTTTAATAATATTCGATGTTGTATTATTTGTTGTACGTTGGACTGAAGATGATCATCAGTGAAACCGAAAAATTCAATTTTTTCTTTGTCTATTTTGTTATTTCAGCAAACACTGACTTCACTGTTACCGACTCTTGAAGGCAATTACACATTCATCCTTTCTTTTTCATGCTCATCACTTTTTTACGTATTTTTCATGCTGAATGCCATTTGAATGCGTCACCGGCCTTGTCGCCTTTTATCAATGTTGTACGTAGATTTTAGTTGATGATTTAATGTTATTTTCAAAGCAAGTGGATAAGACGTTGTTCATGGCTTTAAAAAATTTTCAAGTGAATTTTAAATGCATTGGAAAATATATATTTGTCATTCATTGAAATTTATGATAATACAGTGGAGTCTTTGTGAGGATCAAGGAGAAGAATCTTCACGTTGAGTGCTTCAAGTGTTCAACGTGTGGTACTTCATTGAAGAATGTGGGGTACTACAACATCAATAATAAGTTGTACTGTGACATACATGCGAAACTCGTTGCTAGACAGCAAGCACCAGCTGGATATGTACCAATTACGGTTCCACCGTGAGTAATTGAACTTTTCAATAAATACCAATTACAAGGGCACGACGCAAATTGTTTATCTATCAAGAAGCGATCGATCATTGAGCGAATCTATTCCAAATTGAAGAATCTATAAAAAATATCCATCAACATCTATAAATATTTCAATGATAAAACAATTAATAGAAATCCGATACATCCTATTTATTCTATTGATTCAGTTGATTCTGCGAATGAATTTGAATAGAGATTTGAATTTGTTTGGAATTCAGAGGTGGAAAGGCGCCAGCAGGTACTATCTCAGCGGCCCTAGGAAATCTGACAGCATCCCCAAAGTCTCCACCACCGAACAACGGCACCCCAATGCCACCAGCATTCTCGGTAAATAAAAAGCCTCCGAAATCTCAAGAATGATTTGTTTGCACAGTAAATTCACGAAATTAATCGTAATATAATAAAAGCTTAGAGCTTAATTAATATTTAACCCAAACGTGTGGTTTTGCGACTAAAATTAATTGCAGAGTATTCGCCGTGGGAATTCTGGACTGTGTACCCCATCATCGAGAGGTCTGATGGAGTTGACAACGACGAATGGACACGAAAATGACTGGACGGAGAGAGATATTTTTGACGAGAAGACCTTCACAAGCACGATAACAATCAGAACAGGAAGCGAGGTTGGCAGCAAAGACGAGTTGCCCAATAATCCAAACGAAAGAGACCCGAAAATATCGAGACTAATTCCAGAATTTCAAATCGATGACAACAAATTACCACCCCTCGTTTTCAACCCAGTAATTACCAACGAAAATATTGAAAATTCCGCCGTCGGTACTTACGCTATTCCCAGATATCCAGTAACAAATCATCGTCAAAAATCCCCAGCATTTGTCTCCCATCCCCCCAAAATGATTAATCACAACAATAAAAATACAACGAACAAGTGGGAGAATATTGGCAGAGACAAGACAGACGCGAAGACCGAGGACATCAAGGACTACAGTACAGATTTGAATAATCACAAATTGAAATTCAGCCAAGTTATCTCGGCAATGATGAATGGCGAGGACAGTAACAACAGGACAATGTCAAAGTACACAAATAACGACACGAGACTTAAGAATGAGATCAATCACTCATTTCCGAATAACTTCCACACATCGTCGAGTTCTCTAGCTACTTTCCTACTAGCTAATCGTTCTACACACCCTGAAACCCTGCCAGCATCACCAACAACGACCCCGGACTCGTCATCCTCGTCGATATCTTCGTCCCCAACACCACCAATCACCACAAGGGTGCGATCACTCTTTCTTTATTTATTATTTTTACTTTTTGCATGACTAATTTTAATGTTGATGTCATCATTTTGGCTGATTGACCGCTCATATAAGCATGTGATTGTTGTGTACCATTGCAGACCAATCACTTTGGCATTCCGCCCATCGATACACCCAGTTACCATCCAGTACAGGTAATCATCCCGTCTCAATCACATTTCGATTTATACCGTCACTCAGTTCTACCCCTTCATCCTTTATTACTATTGATTTACGCGGAAATTGTAAGTCGCGAACGTTTTTACTCAAGCAATAATCATTTTTCATGGAAATTGGAAATTGGAATATTATGGAAATTCGATTTTTCTTGAATTCTCCTTTTCCATAGATTCATCGTATTCACTGAAGAGTCAATTTTACTGTAGATATTACTTTTTTTTTGTTGTAGAAAAGTGAAGTAAATTCTATTTGGGAAATTATTGATTTGCAGTGATGAGGATTTTTTTTTTCTGTGAAAGACAATTTTCTGAATGATATTTTTTCCCTGATCTCAGACACCGTCGAGCAATCTTGGAGGACCCAAGCCCTTCGGTGGATCCAGGGTAGCTCCATCAAACATATCATCACCCCCCGTATCCAACAGCTTTAATCGGCCTCAGAGTCAGACAGTAACTGGTAAGTCCCTTATTACCTTAAATACTCAGTGTAAATATCATTAATTGCACAACAAATAATTGATAAGAAGACCAAATGAAAATCGTTTCGAGGAAGTGAAAAAAATAGACACAGTCTCAATTCCTCGTTGGATTTTTGCAAAGAAGCGAATTGAGAACAAGAGTCCATCATTTTAAAATTGGACTTGTGTGTGATTAGGTCGTTACTCTGGCCTGCCAAAAGGTTTTCCCTTGAGAGGTACGAGTAGATTAATCGCTTAGCAAAATCAAAGTGTTGAAATTCCCCCAGCACATCATCATCCCCAAATCATCTATTTATTGATAAAAATTCAAGCATTCCATCCACTTACGATTGTATTCTCGATGGACAGGAATAATTAATTTTGAAATTCTCTCTTTGTCTCTCTCTCCTTCGAAAGCCAATGGAATTTTCCGATGAACATTTTGCCAAATAGATGGGAATCAATCTGTGAAACCCATTGATTATCTTCTACGCATAATGCAACGGTCTTTTTCTTATCTTTTTTTTCAGCAGCTCCGTCTTTCAACCCAAAACCCCGACCTTTCTCCCTTACCCTTGCATGAGCGTCTCTGGCAGCTCTCGAATACGATATCGTCGTTCTTGTTCTTCACGTCCATCACGAAGGCCCAACGCTCTGATTATCGCTATTGTCCGCATCTTATTACTTTATCATTACTTTCGTCTCAAATTTTTATTTTTCTTTGCGTGTGTTTACGTGGAAGTGAGAAAATAAATTATCATCGCGGTTCTAAGAATACACTTGTAGGTTTATTTCATTCATTTATTTTTCTACTGATTTTTTTCATTACCGTCCTCATTTATTTTATCATTTATCATTATTGCTATCAGTTTTTTCGTTTTGAATCTAGTGAGTCAGAGTGTGTGATTAGTGGAGAATTTCTTTTTACTAAAAAAAATCCAAATTTTTGGATTTTTATGAATTAAATTGAAATATTTTTAATAATAAATAAATATAATTTTGTAATTCTAGCTTAACTTACGCTTCAGCTTACTGATAAAAATATTTCTTTTCTTTTTCCCCGCACTAATTGCCTCAATCAATCGCAATTACTAATATTCGTGTTCCCGTGATTTGTGTCGTGTGCGTAACCATCAATTAAATCCCTTTAAAAAAAATCCCCTGCAAATCACCATTAAAAGAATCATACTCTGAGTGTAATTACTACGAGGAGGTGATAGAGGAGCCGCGTTCGCGTCAGGAAGAACACTCAAGGCCGCCTTCTTCGGTGAAGGGCAAATCATTAAATTGGCCACCAGTAAAATCCCTGGAGGACACGACTTATCCAACAGCGAGTCCCATTTGGATTGATCCGAATCCAGTGCTGCATCGTCAGCCTCGTCACAACGTCCGAGAAAAACGTGTTTGCCTTCAGGAGTCGAGCAGAAGCCAGAGTCGTAACGAGGATATCGAGTACGAGAGGGAATCTGTCTGCTGGGGTGAGGATAATATGGACAAGGCAAACTGCAATGCCCCTTTTTACCGAAAAACCGAGACGTGTATGGAGACACGCCGGGAATGTCGTGCAACGAGTCTACCCCGTCCTGAATCCACCCAGGAATCAAGAAGATCGTTAACACCAACGAGAATCAATCAACCAACACCCAAACCCTGGACTTCATCAGTAACAACAGGCGCATATTCTCACGTGGAAGCACCTCAAGTGCCCGATCCACCGATTTGCAAGATTTGCACTTGTCGAATCGTCTGCGAGAGAACAACCGGTCCATCTGGCCCTGAGCATGAACAAGAGCATCATTATCACGAGGTAATTTGTGATCTCTGCAAACCACCGCCACCTGAACCTGAACCTCAGCCCGAGCCACAACCGATTTGTCTGTACGAGCAGGAACCTGAAGAGGAGATTGTCGATACCGACAACGAAACCATGGATTTATCGAAATTAGTTCCCGAGGATGTGGCTATTTGTCCGAAGGGTGTTGAAAGCCAGCACAATATGTACACAGAAACCATGGAGAAGGATGAGGGAAATCTCCACATAAAGAAGACAACGATTTATGAAAAGACCGTTGAAATTGTTACTCCAGAGCGTGGAATGTCTCCAGCACCATCCGAAGCTGGAAGACAATCGACAACGTCAATGGATCGTGAGGTAGCTGGATTCTCAGGTAGACAGGAGTGCGTCGAGGCAGCGAGTGTTATATCATCAGCGATCGACACAAATCGCCAACTAGATCAACTTCGAGAGCAGGAAGAAGAACGACAACGGATTTACGAGGAGGAATGCAGACGAGAGGAGGAGAGAATACGACGAGAGGAGGACGAAGTGAGACGTCGTGAGGAGAATCGTTTGAGAATTCTGCGAGAGGAGAAAGAGGCGAAAGCCCAGAGGATAGAGGAATCGAGAAAGCAGACGGAGAGGTGCTGTCGTCTCGAGGAAGAGGAGCGTAGAGCACCAGTTCAATCCTGGCAAGAGCAGCAATACGTCGCTCGAGAGGAGAGAAACGATGCAGAGCACAGTACAACGTCTCAGCAGTGCTACAGATCTGTCAAGAAACAGGTTCAGGTCGAGGAGAATTACAACGAGATTGAAGAGCAACAACGCCAGTGTCTGCGGGAGCAAGTGCAAGTTCACAAGTCCCTTCGTCAGCAGCAACAAACACCTGAGCGTCAGCCCTCGCTGCAGGAGCGTCGGCTTCAGAAGCGATTCCGACCTCAATCTGCGGAAGAGCAGCAACAGTTTGCGTCAGTACAAGAGCCTGTCTGTCAACGGAAGCACGTGCAATTTCTGACTGATGGTGATTCAGGTGTTGGTCCTCTGGCTGAATCGATGGTGAAGAACTCAACACCAAAAGAATACAAAACCCCCATGTGCGAGGCTTTGACGACAGCACCAGCGAGGCCTTTCTCACCATTTCATCCTGGTGTGGGTAAATCAGAAGAGCTGAAGCATTACTCCACGGAGATACGGTATGAGGAGATTTCTCATCAAGTCCCACAGCAGCAGCCGTACAAAGGCCCATACGAAAGACCAGTTTCACCGTTTACTGAAGCTTTGGTTATCGCCCCGGATCGTCCTTATACACCATTGGGGGAAGATGTCAAAGGAGCTGTTGACATTGACAAGCCAAGTGTTGCTCGTCCTTATACACCGATAAATCAACAACAAGACGGATACTGTCATCCCGCTGAGATTCTCTACACGGATTCTGTGACTCGTCAATCGAGAACCAGAGAGCGAACTCTGCGGAAGGTCGAGGGGCCCAGGCCCTTGCCCACTCCGCCACCAGACTACAGATTGAGGGATTCCTCGATATCACCAGGTAGATCTATGTCACGATCGACAACACCAGCTGATTGTAAAATCAGGCCCGGGGGACTGAAGAAACCTGATACCATTCCGTTTTATCAGAAACATTTGGTAGCCGTTGAGCAGGAGGCAGTTGCCAGTTCTCCGTATGTACCAAGCAGATCGCCAACACCGCACAGAAAATCACCAGCTCCTGGACCACCTGATCCTCCAGCTTACTACACCAAATGTCATCCTCAGGCACCGAGAATCAGGGACGAGGAATCTTGTCAGATGAAAAATCAGCCTTCATACACAGGCCCTTATGAAAAAGTGTCGTATCACATGGAGGAAGACACACCTCAGTGTCACAGATCTTCGGATTTCGTGGGGACTCGTTCGTCTTATCAGCAGTATCAGTGTCAAAAGGAGGAGAAGCGGTACGAGGAGAAGAGCGAGAGATCGTGTCAGGAGAAGTCAATCGAGGAGAGAAAATCGTACCAGGAAGTCTCTGGAGATGAGGGAGATACCTGTGGGATCTCGAATATATCCAGGACTCAACCATCGCTCCCCTGTCCAATAAGTCACTCTGCGATATCCGATCGCATCCAGAGAACCGGCGTTAAGGTTCTCCCGACGCCTCAAATCTCAGAGAGAATCTGCCAGCAACAGCGCAGCACAAGTTCGTACAGCTCCGAAAAGGAAAGCACTTGCGCCAACACTGGAGTCACTGTTCTCCCTTGTCGAGCGTTCACTGGAACAGGAACTAGTAGAGCTGGAGTGGTAATTGTTCCCTGCGAGGGTTCAGAGACCTCTGAGACGTGCCCACGAGCTGGTATTTGTGTGACTCCAACACCAGACAGATCAGGCCTCTGTGTCTCTCCAGCATTGCATGGAAAATCAGCTGCCAAGTGCGGCTCAGGTGATAAGGGAGTTCGATCTGGTGGATGTGAGATTGACATCGGTAATTGTCCAGCGTCTGGTGTTCGCGTTGGCACCTGCACCGATGGATCTGTCTGCATTGCTCCTTGCAAAGTACCAGGAGTCTCCTCTGTCACCTGTCCAAAGCCTATACAAAAGCCCAAATGTCCGCTGTCAAAACCCATTCCCTTTCCCCACATCCCTCTCCCTGATGAAAAGGAGGTCAAACCCTGCGACGTTTGTCCCCTCAAAACGCAAGACAAGAGCTTCAAACCGATAACAAAGCAACAACCTAAAACAACTCTCAGCCAGCAGCTTACTTGCATGACAGTTAAACGTGATAAACAAGTTGTTCAGTTATTCAAATCCCAAGCAGAGGCATTGGAGCAGTGTAACGATGGCATTCACTGTGGTGAAACGAAACAGAATAATTGTTCTGATGGTATTCACTGTGAACCCCGGAGGAACAACTGCTCCGATGGCAAACACTGCGAGCCCGAGGTGTTGCGAAACTCTCAGCCTACCCTGAAGCGCGCACCCTATGCCCCACAACCATTTAGTAAAACCCAGAATTTAGTAGAGCCACCGAATTTGTCGTGCCAACCGGATTTAGGTAGCGGAATCGGTGGAGTTGGGCCACAAGGTCGAAAATTCGCTGGAAGCTCAGCGCCTAAACGTGGACGGGGAATTTTGAATCAGGCATCCACTGGAAGACAACCTGTCTGCGCACATTGTCAGGCTTACGTCAGGTAGACGGGTCCCTGAATTTTATTGCCTGTCGTTTGTGTCTGCATGACTGCACTCTTTTGCCTATTAATTTTATTCTGTCTATTAATTACGTTTATTTTTATTTAATTTAGGACGCATTCGTTTTGTTCTTCTCGTTATTTTTATGTTCAATTATTTTAGGTTTTTGCATTTATTTTTTATAGTCGAATATTGAATTGAGGATTGCGCTGTTTAACAATTAATGGCATGTTTTTGACAGTTGGAGATCTTACTAATAGCATATCGAATGGCCAAAGTCTCAAGCCAATTGGCTGCTGTTGTGATGAAGAAATAACGAGGTACGAGCACAATGTTCTCACTGCACGCGGACATAAATTTAATTGAAAAGGCTAAGTGATTTCATGAAAAAATTCCATAGAAAATTCCATGGAATTCTATTGAATATTTTCAATTGAAATTTCAATTGAATCGTCCAATAATAAAAATAATAGCATTTAAAAGAAAATCGACGTCTTTCCTTTTTTATTAATTATTATCAATCCTTAATGTTCTTAATAATTCAAAAGTGAATTTTAATAAATTAGGGGTCCCTTCATCACCGCCCTTGGACAAATCTGGTGTCCCGAACACTTTGTCTGCGTAAATTCGCAGTGTCGTCGTCATCTCCAGGACATCGGCTTCGTCGAGGAAAAGGGCCAGCTCTACTGCGAGTATTGCTTCGAAAGTTTTATCGCGCCCTCGTGCAACAAGTGCAACAACAAAATCAAGGGTGATTGTCTCAATGCAATTGGCAAACACTATCATCCCGAGTGCTTCAATTGCACATACTGTGGAAAATTATTTGGCAACAGTCCGTTTTTCCTTGAGGAGGGACTGCCGTACTGCGAGGCCGGTAAGCAACCGATAACAAGACGAACAATCGATATATCAATGGCCATATTCGTTTTTATTCCAACCAATATTGCCAACGTGTTTTGTCAATACAAAGACTATTTCACATGATTTGAATGTTTATTTTTCTATTCGATGGGAATATTATTTTACAGATTGGAACGAATTGTTCACGACCAAATGCTACGCCTGCGGATTTCCGGTTGAGGCTGGAGATCGATGGGTTGAGGCGTTGAATAATAATTATCACAGCCAGTGTTTCAATTGCACGGTAGGACAATCATTTTTATGGTTTAAAAAAAAAATCGGGTATTATTTAGTAGATTAGTAGATACCCAGGATTATATTCCGACCTAGACTAAGCTGAAATCGACAAGTACCCAAACACCGGGTATTTAACTGTTCCCTTTAAATCTGGGAATTTGGAAATATTCGCGAAGGTAAAAGCAGACTTTACATACACAATCGTATCGTAATTTACAAAATAAGTAGTGAATTTTTGAAATCAAATAATGATTATTATTATTAACATAATTAATTATTGATAATACTTAGGTATTCTTTGTTATTAGTATTGTGAATCAATTAATGTATTGCAGATGTGCAAAAAGAACCTCGAGGGCCAGAGCTTCTACGCCAAAGGTGGTCGTCCCTTCTGCAAAAATCACGCACGCTAGAGCGAACGAAATCCCCGCCTCAACTATCCAGCCTGAATATTTAAAAAATTGAAAAAAAAGAACGAAAGTGCTGACAAAAAATATGAGAAACGATACGTGAGAATATAATTAATAACAAGGATAACAGAGCGCTATTTAAACATTTTTTTCTTCAAAACCGATGTGAATTTTCACTAACCCAAATACGCGATAAGTTCTCGTTGAATTACAATTAAATATTGTTGAATTCAAATTATTTGTTGGCTTTAATGACGAAGAATGTAATTGAATCCTCAATAATGCCACGGTTGATAACCGAAAAGTGGAATGAATAATTAATTGTGAATTTTAATGATTATGGGGGCACGATTCGTGTTGTTTTACTCCAATAATTTATCCACGTGAAATCATTTCAAGGGATCAACACGCAAAGGTCATTGCAGCAATTGCACATTAAAATTAGACGTTTAAAAGTATTTCGAGTTGTCATTTAATTGGGGATGAAAACTCTGAAGTTGATTTTGTGGTAAAGAGAAATTAAAAGTCTAATTGAGATAATTGTCGTATTATTTGTGGATGCAGATGACAATGAAACGATTAAGCCAAAGGGTCAAGGAGGAATGCAGGAGTTTTAAACAGTAATTATCCTTCAACTGCAGTTGATTACTTGGCATTATCTCGTTTTGGCTCATAATCACGTGCCAGTGACTCGTAATCACTTGAATCACGATGGATTCATATAGATTTCTAATGCTATCACAATCGGAGGCCAACAGAAAATAGATGTACATTAATTTCCAGTGGCAAATGCTATTTGCAAGCGAAATTGAATGAAAGAGTCTTCGGATGTGAGAAATCGAAGCATGTGATATTGTTTCCTGTTAATCTCCAACATCGAATCGGAATAACGACTTTTTCATTCAGCGAGATGTATAAAGGTGGAAAAACAGATATTTGTAGACGTGTAATTTGTTGCTTGAAATAAATCAGATAGTCACTAAACTACACTAGACGATCTCATTAAATTCACCCGAAAGAAACAATTCACGAATCCCCGAAAATTTGTGGCCACGATAATCGATAAAACTGCAATTTTTACGCTGGCAGAGGGGAGGCAAAGAGGATGGAAAAAAAATAAGGTCTTTGCCCTTTCCCACCGATCATTACATTTATGGGCTTATGATGTCTGGGTTTGGAGTCACTTTGAATGCGTGTGGGATGGAAATCCATGAGTGTATCGTCGAGACCAAAACACGTAAGACTCAAGTTTTTTTTCATTGCGGACTTTGCCAAAACAAAAATTGCCATTTCCTCAATAAAAAATATAAAAATTCTTCTGTAAAAATTCCCCCGAAAATCCATAAATATTTTCACGGAAAAAAACGGTTTTTTGCATTTTTTTTTTGGCAGAAGTGATTTTTTTTTTCATTAGCGTAACATTTCGGAGACTTCACGTCACCGGAAGGAAGTGCTATCACCCCCAAAACTCGAAGAAATATTTTAGCCCCCTCCCCCCATCGGCAAGTATATTCAATCGATCTCTTACCTTTAACCGTAACCTTGCGCACACTTGCTCTTTATTGTCACAACAAGTCACATCAGGAACCTGCAAACAAGCAGATACATCCTGTTTTCATTTACATTTTTATTTACATTATTTTTTCATTTTTCCGCCTCCGATGCACGGGGGATTCCCTCTGGTACCACTTGCCATCGTGGGACAATTCCTCAGAACGTAAGCTAAATCTTCTTTTCAACAATTCTCCCCCTCATTACGAGATAATTGCTTAAACAATTGCACTAGACAGGGTTGAACGAACTAATAATGATAATAATGATATTTTACGGTTTGCCCCCAGAATAGCTTGAAGAAATAATTGAAGGGGTAGCATCGAGTTATGTGAAGTATTTACAAGTCAGTAATAATTTAGCCAGTACATATTTACCTCTGCAGTGATTTCATTCAGTCCCGCGATGCTAATCTCCACCCTAAATAGCATATAAAGTAACGATCAGCAGTACTTGTTGGTTAAAATAAATGTCCAAAAGTGGATAAAACAATGAATGTACGTGAATGATGGCATGCAAAGGCACTCTTCGTGTTTCACATCCCCCCACCCTTATAAATTTGCACAAGTAATTCCACAAGAAGCGCAACAAACATGACGCGATAAAGAGGCCGATCAGAGATTCCGAATAAAAACAAAACTTTGTCAAACCCCTGCACTTGTTTCTCACAATTCACCATGAAATCCACCACCAAACTGACTCACAACACCGACAAAAACTCATCCCAATGGTTTTAAATCTAGATACCAGAAGCAAACCTATTGCGTGTCTGGAAACGCGGCGCTATCCTCGTAAAGGAACAAGAGTGGATAATATCGAGCTTTACTTGCATTTGTTTCGCGTGTAGTCACTATTGTCCTCGTTCTGTGTCTTGTCGTTCCTTCATTTTATTTTTTTTTCACGTAAAGTGGGGGAAGTGAAATGTTCAGTTGAACTGGAGTGAACTTTATCGTCAGTGGAAAAGTTGAGACCGAAGTTAACAGCCCTTCCACTTCAGGTTGGTACCAACAATTCAGGCCCTAACGTTTTTTTTTTTTTCCATAATTTTCGTTTGACATTTTCATCCCCTTATAATGTTTCATCGAGCAGTCGATCGAGCGTAACGAACGTATCGAACGTATCGATCAGTCGTATCGAATCAAATGAGAAAATTAAAAGTGCTACCGTACAAAAAAAATTTATGCACCCAGGGAATGGATTTGGGATTTTCGTGGAAGTGATTTTTTTTTTAATTAATTCAATTTTGTAATTAATTCCCCGTACAGTACACTCGTAAATGATAAAACTCTTAGTTCGTGGAAAAGTGTTTTTTGTTTTCACAATCAGTCACATTTATTTTCCTATAGGCAAGACTTTTTTACCCCAGGGTTTGTGAAAATATGAAAATATCAATCAATAGGATAATTCTTGACTAGATCCACAAGTGTGCACCACGTCAAAAGTGGCAATTCACGCGTATTTTCTTGAAAAGGGGCAAACCCTCGACTGTAAATAGCTGAATATCACGCGATAAATCTTCACGCACGATATTCCACGTATTTTCTCACCTCTCCATATTCCTAAATAAATTATAGACACGCCTTCAGTCAATTTCGCTATTCACATTTTCTGTTTATCATCTGTTATCATTTCTCAAGGATCAACGAGGGGACAATAAGAGAAAACGATAAACCACCCCTCACCAGATGCATCAATATCACTTTTTTCTATTTATAGGAGTATAATTCGTGCTGGCTATGAATAGGAATCCCCGATATCCTCCCGCCTGTCTTTGTGTCACCAGTGGCACACGTAAAAAATATAAAACACTGGCATTCCATTATTATTCTGCCTATTCGAAATTACTCAATTTTTACGGTTACCAGAGTCATGGATTTTCAGGTGATTGAGCTGAGGAATGGAGAATTTTCTTGATGGACCATTTGTCTTCAGGCTTAATGACAGTGGAACTGCTCCCCATCTTCTGGTCCAGGTAAATCAATCAATCGATTAATAAATGAATTCTAACAACCGACTGGAATAAATCGGTGCATTAAATCACAGAGAATTTTTCTCCTCCCCTGATGTGATGTCGAAAAAAATACAAGTATCCATTTAGATGTTTAATATTGAATCTCCAAAAATTCTCGAAGCGAATGATGATTAAGATTAAATTAGATATGGAATGCATTTACCATTGGGACTCGTGTCTCGAGGTCGCAAGTTTCTCATTAACGATTTGTACGAAGAGACTGCAGGGGGTGGAGAAGGGGTGAGAGAAGCTTTCGTGATGTGGCAAAGTAGGCTACCGTGATACAACAGTTTACCGATTTAATTGTAATTACATACCGCTGGTATGGCCGATAGATATTTGGCATTCGGGGGTGAAGGGTTTTTAGCTCCCTAATGTCGTAATGACACGAGAAAAATCAAGGACGGACCGGGGAAGTTGGAATGCAGTCGAAAAAAAATGAGACTTTATTCAATTGCTGTAACTAATCTCCAAGAAATATATTTAACATTCAGAATCAATGAAAAATTAATAGAAAATTCAGGAAAAGTCCAGTAGAATTTTTCAACGGATGAGAATGTTTTTCTGTTACTTTTATTGCTCTGCTTGACATTAATCAAATATTACTAATTTATATTTAAAGGTGTGTACAGAACGTGGCTGGAGAGAATACGTTGGTGATACGAGCAATGCCTTCAAGGATCGTTGGAATTTATGGTGGAAATCCGGGGGATTTCCCACATCACACTACAAGAGTCTATTACCCTGGCAATTTATAAACAGAATACCAAAGGGCAGTTCGATATGCAAGAAGGATAATCTCGTGAGACATTTGAAGTGTATGCGCCAGGTTTATGGATCCATTTATGACATCAGGTACTCCTCCACCTTTCTTGCCCTTTCATTTTCGTATAAATTCGTTGAGAAAAATCTGAATTACACCTGTTGTCAGTCCACCAGGATACAATCTGCCATCGGAGTACACGAAATTGGCAGCTGATTGCAGTCGATGCGAAAAGGACGACAGAGTTTGGATTTGCAAACCTGTGGGACAAAGTCAAGGACGTGGAATTTTCCTCTTCAGGGTAATTCAAGCGTTCGGATTTTACTTTTCTATTCACATCGTTATTCTCGATTTTTTAACAATCTTTATTACAATTCCGGTGTATCTATTAGAGATTGAGTGACTTGAGTTACGACAGTGCAGCAGTCGTGCAGAGATATATTGAAAAACCTCTGCTAATTGGAGGATACAAATTCGACTTGCGACTGTACGTCTGTGTTCCTTCATACCGACCACTAACGATTTATCTCTACAAGGAGGGACTGGCAAGATTTGCCACTGAGAAGTTCTCCCTCGAGAACCTGGACGATCCATTTCGCCACTTGACTAATTTCGCGCTCAATAAATTGGGCCCTGGCTATTCGCAGAAAAAGGAAAGAGTCGGTGCAGGTGATGATTCTTCACGAATAAAAAATTGGTGGATAAAAAAATAATTGGCTTATCGATGATTGCAGGTTCTAAATGGAGTTTTCGACAATTAAGAAGATACATGGATCAGTCAGGCTTCAACGACTGGTTCCTCTGGCAGAGAATAGCTGCCCTGATTTCTCTGACTGTTTTAAGTCAAACTGCCGGCATTCCGAAGTCCTCAAATTGCTTCGAGTTCTTTGGTTTTGATGTTCTAATCGATGCCAACTTGAAGCCATGGCTTCTCGAAGTCAATGTGAGTCCAGCACTGGGTAATGACTGCGAGGTAGACTCTGAAGTGAAGAAGCCACTTCTTCATGATCTTTTTGATCTACTTGGTCTGCCTGTGTGCAATACTGGACTCTCTCTGTTCAAAATTTGGTCTGCCTCGAGCCCAATTGTGGGCACCTGCGATGACGATTTCTGTGCTTCCAAGTATTATCAACCACGGTGTTCCAAACGTCGATGCAGGCTCGATGAATCTGTTGGTTTTGTCAAGGCACGTCCAGATAGTGCAAATATGGTCAGTTCTCCATAAAAAATTTATTTATTTAATTTTCAATTCAAATGATCCAAAATCGCGCCTAATATGTTTTTCTCTGCGTTCGTTTCCTCGATTAAAAATACGTAGAGAAATTATTTGTTTAGTTCCGACGTACAGCAACGGAAGAGAATTTTTCACGCTACAATCCACTCTGTGTGGAAAAAAATATGCAGAAAGGTTTCAAAGGTTCGAATAGAGCAGAACATTCGGGTGGTCTTATCTGGGACAACGGTCGAGACTGGGGAAATCCTAAAACTCGAGAGGGCGGATGGATAAGGATTTATCCATTTATGAATCCTAAATCCCTGGAAAATCTGGATTTTCCGAGTAGATCGAGTCCAGGTGAGGCTAGGCCTGTCGAGAAGGAGATTAAAACGAGTGTCCTCTGCATTCAAAAGTGAGTTGATAAAGTGTGAATGGACACGATATTTTGACTAATTTGATTGCCTTCGCAGATTTATTAAAGTAGCTAAAGATATTCAACGAGAATTTGGTAAAGAGGGTGACGTTCGGTGCAATGAACTCTTGAGAAGGGAATTAGATCTGACAACTGAAGTCTGGCTCCCTGAGAAATGACCTCACCTGTACATAAGTACCTCTAGGTGTTCAACTTGATCTCTTCTCCATTTTTTCAATCAAACAATTGTATATAATATTGACTTTCGATCTACTCCACTTCACATTTTATTGAAATCATTTCCACAATGAATAAATTCGATTCTTTTACCTTAAAACATACATATATTGTTGCTAATTATCCTTTTTCGTTCTAAAAAAAGTTAATAATATTAATCTAAGAATAATTATGGAAAAGGGTAAATGAGAGAAAGAAGAACAAACGTGTCGAAAAATTTACCAAGAAATGTTGTTTTATTGGTTTTTTTAGCGTGGTATAATGAAAAATTAGTTGACGCCCTTGGCTGCTAGCCTCTTGTCGCGCTCCTCGGCGATTGACAGCTTGACACCCTTGCCCTTTGGCAGACTGACGTATGCCTTTGATCCTTTGCCAATGATGAAGACGTTGTTTAATCTGCAAAATTTTCCAACCAACATTCGATTAATCCCAAGAAATCCTGAGGTAAACATTATTTTAGGAATTTTCAAGTTTCAATCCATTCATTCTAATAAATTAGAGCTGGGAATGAAATAATTGTAATCTTCTTGGGTAATACGGAAAGACCATGAGGTCAATCAGTGACCAAAAAGGAGAGTTCATTATTCTCGGCCCACTTTTGACTACAATGAACATAAAAAATAATTTATCGCAGCTTCGAAGTGGCCAATAGCATTATTTAATTGGTAATTATGTTGAATTATTATTCAAAATATTTTATTCGAAAAATTGTGAATAAAATATCTGATATTCAATAAATAGTAAAATTTTTAAAGATCTTACCTAGTGGCGAAAGTATGTCCTTGAGAGTCCTTGATGTGACAAATATCGAAGGATCCTGGATGACGTTCACGACTGACAACGGTACCAACACGACCCAAATTCCTGCCTCCAGTGATCATGCAAAGATTTCCCGAGTCGAAACGAATGGAATCAAGAATTTTTCCAGTGCCAATTTCCAACTGGATCGTGTCATTCACCTTGATAACTGGATCTGGATAGCGGATGGTTCTTCCATCGTGTGTCACCAGGAAGGGAACTCCCTTGGGGCCGGTCTGAACGCGTTTGACTTTGCACAATTTGTACTAAAACAGGCAACATTAATTAATTCATTCATTTTAATTCGATGCACGCCTTATAATCCGGAATTGTTTCAAGTTCTACCTTAGCCTCTTCAGCGGTGATTCTGTGAATCGTGAAACGTCCCTTGACGTCGTAAATCAATCTGAAGAATTCCCCAGTCTTCTCAATCTGTACAACATCTACAAAATTTATAACAATTAATAATACCGTTGCCGTAAAAAAAAAAATACAAAAAGTGAGTTATTGAAAATGTCTCCTTCTTGGGTGATACTCAAAGAATACAATAAATAATTCAGTGAGTGACCTTTTAGAAAGACTCTCTCTGGGCCTCAGTTTGACTACAACAATTGAGATTCAACAGTCGTAGCTTCGATGAGGCCTTTGAGAAATGGAAAAATATTTCAAGGAACTCACCCATGAAACCTGCAGGGTAGTTTGGATCAGTGCGTACTCTGCCATCGACTTTGATCAAGCGCTGCATGACGATCTTGGTGACTTCAGAGTTGGTCAGGGCATACTTCAACCTGTTACGGAGGAAAATAACGAGAGGAAGACACTCTCGGAGTTTGTGTGGCCCAGTAGATGGACGTGGGGCATAAACACCCCCCAATTTGTCCAACATCCATGCCTTCGGGGCATTGAGACGCTTCAAGTGCTTTTTAGGTCCACGGGCCTGAAATCACGAGAATAATGAGACACATGGCTCCTCAGGTTATGTCACTTCAATAGATCAATCAACCAATCACATCAACTCCGGTTTCAATAATTTTTTATTATATATTTTTATGAATTTATCAAAGGGGCGTCGAATATTGCAGATCAATTTCGCTCAATTATATTTATACAAATGTCAAAGGGATACCACGAGAGATGGGGAGGGGGTTAAGTTGGTCAACGATTTTTCACTAACTTCGGAGAGTTTTCACTAAATATTTGTATTAACTTGCACGTTAGATCCTGAGGAACAATTGGCACACGGTGATTTATGAGATTTTTATCCTTTCGACTCGATGCAATTGGATTTTGTGTTGACGAGGTGCAGTAAACTTACCATCTTGGATACCTAAACGGAAAAGAGTCGTGAGCCTCTAATTTCCCGCGGAATTGTCTTTCAGCGCCCATTCGTGGAGAATAAGTTAACTAAAATCCTTTCCAGTAGCGCATGTGTCGGTTTTTTTAAAAGTTTGTTATGTTAACGGATTTCTCTTGTTTTTGCACGGACTGGTGAAAAAACCTAACGTTTTACGGCTTTTCTCGTGTTTAGTTGTGAACAAAGTGCAATTTCGAGTGAATTTATTAATTAGATGGCGGGGTGGGAACGAAAATGAGAAACAGTGAAGTGAATTATATTGTGGAAAGTGTTAACGTGTCACTCAGTACAAAAGTAGTGATGAAAATCAAGACATCAGTGATTAAATAATCACGAGTCATTGATATTGTTGTAAACGGAGTGTAATTGCAAGGTAATTTATTAATTATGTGGAGTGATGGAAAAAAAGTGAGAAGTAGTGAAGTGAATTATATTCTGGAAAGTGTTGAAGTGCCAATCTCAGTACAAAAATAGTGATGAAAGTCAAGAGATTACTGGATAAATAATCATGAGTCATTGATGGTTTGGACGAGATCATCTAGGAGACTGGAGGCTCCAATCCTAAAGAGATCTTTATTGATCCAATCATCACCTAAGATTTTTTCCACCAAAGTCAACCATTCTATTGCCTGAAGTGCAGTCTTGATGCCTCCAGCTGGTTTCAATCCCACCTAAAAACCAGGGGTAAGTCCTAATTAACTAATTGATCAAATAATTACTGCGAATAAATCTCGATCAATTAAAAGTGCGAATTAATCGAGCGATTAAGGGTAACCCTCTTTACTTTTCGTCCAGTCAGCCGTTGAAATTCTTTGATGGCCTCACACATGACAACTCCCACCTCTAAAGTCGCATTAATAGACTCCTTTCCCGTCGAAGTCTTGATAAAATCCGACCCAGCACTCATGGCTACCATTGATGCCTTGTAAATATGATTGATACTTGGTAAATCACCAGTTGATAGAATAGTTTTCATATGTTTTTCCGCGCAAACTCTCCTCATCTCTGAGATCTGCTTGAACAATTCCTCCCAATTGTCATTTTTGACCAAACATCTATCAATGACAATGTCAATTTCATCAACATCCGATTGTCCAGCTACCAGAACGTCCTTCAGACGTTGGTCATAAGGTAGTGAAGCATTTGGAAAATCTCCAGCAACTTAAAAAAAAATATCCTCTAAATATTTTGATTTTGGCAGAAGGCATAAAAAGGGATGAAGTACTAACAATAATTGAAAATCAATTTTTAAACAACTCTGAATATTCTTTACCTGTGGCCACAGAAATATCTTGAATATTCCTCTGTTTTAAAAAATCTATGGCATCTTGTGCTCTCGCTTGAAAAATGCAAACAGCTGCTGTATGTAAATCTTTATTACCAATCTGCTCGCCTATCGGATTTATTGCCTATTGAATGGATAATTGAATAACCAAATTGCAAATTAGTTGTTAATAATTCATCCATTATTACCCTTGCACACAATTCCTCAATTGTTTTTGAACTATCGTTTACGTTCAAGGACGTCAAATCGATAAGACTTATCGCCTTCAGAAGTTGTGACCTATTATAGACGATTCGATTGTCAATCGACCCACAGATGCTCTGAATTTCACTCACTCGTTTCCGCACGTATTCATGAGTAACGTGGGATGGTACATTTAACGTTAAAATCGACGATTCAATCACTGGCCTTTGCATATTTATTCCTTTTAATTAAAAACTCGAAATATCGACTCGTAATCCACCCAGACAGATTTTAGATCCTCTCGATATCTGTTGATGCTCCAAACTTAAAAATGGAGGAATGGAATGATAAGAATTTGACCGCCAATTTCAAATGAGAAGCATATGATTTTCATTGGATTTTAATATTCCCCTAGGACAGGTTCTATAAATGAATATACAACCAATTTGATACAGTAACCGAATATTTTATTACTATGGCAGAACAATCGACATTTTTACTCCTATTATTTGTCAATGTTATCTGTGGTGTTCCCACTGATCCCAATATTCCTTCGTCTGCATTTCTGAGAGTCTCGAGACTGTCCGGTCGAATGCAAAGAGTTCCTCTTCACCAGTGAATAGATTAGACTTGTGGTTATCCTAGGAGAAAAAATTACAGTATCACATTCCATAATTCCAATCAACTCTTTACCGTAAATTAATATTCACTCACTGAGCCACCAGCTATAGCCAGATCATCCATTAGCATTCGTTTTTCGTCCGTGTACTCAGTATCTTCTTCAGGTAAAAATAATCTGTTGTGAGGAGCCACTGCAGAAACTACAACTCTCACTCTGTTATCGTACAGAGTGTCAATGAGTGTGATGAATCTCCTAGCTTGTGATTTAAGCTTCAAATTTAACTGAGGAACATCCCTTATTATTATTGTGTGAAATGCCTGAGAGAGCTCTAGGTAATCACTTGCACCAAGAGGCTAAAAAACCAATAGATTGTTGTGAATAATAAGTGCACGAGATGTGTAACAGATTAATTAAATGTTGCATACCCTATCACATAATTCATCAAACGTAGAATCAATCACTTGTCCACAAGTTTTCTTGAAGGATACGTTTCTTCCTTTAATGGAAAGTATCTTGGGCCTGACGATGTCATTTTCCATGGAGCACAGGTACTTGAAAACCTTGTCAACAGCATCATCATCGTCCTCCCCTTTGATGAAGTAAGTCCTCTCCTTGCCAGATCCTGCTCTGAGCCTGTAATCAATACCCGAGTCCAAAGATTGCACAATCGAGTGGTCTTTAAGTACTTGAATGAAAGGCAAAAAGTTTCCCCTTTGCAGTCCATTTTTGTATAAATCGTCCGGTGATCTATTACTGGTGGCCACCACTGTCATTCCATTTTCAAAAAGACACGTGAATAGTCGTTTCAAGATCATAGCGTCTGCAACGTCTGTCACTTGAAATTCATCGAAACAGAGGAGCCATGCTCTCTCTGTTATCATATCAGCTACTGGAGGTATTGGATCAAACGGTTGTAGTTTTGTACTACTGTAGTCTCTCTTCATTCCCTTTTTCACCTCGTGAATTTTACTGTGCACATCCAGCATGAAGGAATGAAAGTGAACCCTTTGTTTCTTGTCAACCTGACAGCAGTCATAAAATAGATCCATCAACATTGTTTTACCTCCACCAACAGCCCCATAAAGGTACAATCCCTTCGGAGGTTTTTTTCTTCTTTTTCCCTTTCCAATGAACTTGGAAAAAAATCCCGGCTTCTCTGGTTCATATTTATGAACACGTTCAAATACAGTTTGAAGGTTCTCAGTAATTTTCATCTGATAGTCATCCTCAACGAGTTCCCCTTTGGCTATTCGATTCCTCAAAACCTCAATAGGTCCTCCTTTTGATAATAAATCATCAGCAAACGCACGTGCTATGACAATTTGACAGGTTCGAGAGATCCAGTGATTAATACTATTGGCAGTTGGGGATTTAATCAAATGACAAGCCATCATTTAGATCTGAAATTCAATTTTACGATTATCGGAATTTTTATTCATCTCTTTGGATATCTTCAGGGTTAACCTAATACTCTCCTCGGTATGGACTGGATTATTTTATTTTTCTATGAAAAGATTTAAAGCAAGTAATGAGAATGATGGGATAATTAGTTAGAGCAGTAGAGAATCTTATTACCTCGAGAATAATTTTACTTACGTTTACAAAATGAGATAAATAATAATCTGTCTCAGCCAAGGCGATTTATTTTAGACTTCTCTTGTGATTCGGCGCACGGCACACGTTTACGTAATGATCTCTCAATAATTGTCGACAATTTTTTCAAATGACAGGTATATGAGTAATGAAGCGATAATTATTTAATACTGTAGTCATCATGTGACTAGGTTGTCACAACCTTTCAATTTCGTCTGCAGTGCGCGCCAAATTTGGAGCTTTTTTTATTCTCCTTTATCCATTCCTTTTTCGATTAGCTCGGAATAATCGATTTTTCTAATCGACCGATAGATATCGATTGAATTCAAACGAATAATTTTTCTATCACGAGTTTTTCATTGTGTAAATAGTTTTCGGAGTGGAATTAGTGGAACAATTTATGATAATTGTTTTTACCTTTGAATTTTTTCAGTATTTTTTCTCTGAAAAAAAAATTGGTAATTGAAATTTTTCGAGTGCACATCTCGACAGGAGAGAATCGACTCAGACGAGAATCGATTCCGCCTAGAATCGATACAGAATCGTGAAACTCTCTCAGTCTCATTCAATTTCGTTAGTGTATAGTTAAGGAAAATGTGAATGGTGTGCCGCGAAAAATCGATAGAACCCTTAGCCGTGGGTTTTTTTCCTTCGAGTAAAATGCGGTCGATTAAGTGAAGATAATTTGAAGTTGTTGGAGTAAATAAGTGATCACCGAGAAAAATGGCAGCAGCTCAGGGAACACCAGAGTCCGATGCTGGTAGTTTTGAATGCTTTCAGAACTACACAGCACCTGAAGTTTTTATCCAGGGACTAGCAGGAATTGTTGATCAGCAAGACGTCGAGTCTATGATAAGAGCGCAAAAGCAAATGTGAGTGACTGATGAAATCAGACTAAATACTCCACATTTTCGAGGTTTGAGTGGCTGACGATATTTTATTCTCAGGCTACAGAGATTCGAAAAGACCAACGAAATGCTCACCAACTGCAATCAGCTGTCAGTGAACAGGCTGAAATCAGCTGGAATTGAGTTGAAAAAACACACTGCTCTGCTGGTGGAGATGAAGAAGGATTTGGATTATATTTTTAAGAAGATCCGAGTCGTCAGGAACAAACTCAATCAACAGTATCCACAGGCAGTTAATGGTAATGCAGAAAATGATTTAAGGAATTATCAAAATTACCAGGACTAAAAAAATCAGGAACAATTTTATTGTTGCCTTCCAGAGGCTGTGAGGAGCAGTCTAGCGGAGGAAGTCCTAGTAGAAGACATTGATCAGGGACCAAAGCCCCTGGAGCCAGAAATTGTGCCACTCTCAACAGCACCAATCAACGAGAAAGACAGAGACGCTGATTCTGATGGTAATCAACCAGACATAAAATAAATCATTTGAATCGATGTAGCCTCTGAATATTTATTGTTAAGACTCTTAGAATTTCTGATCTTTCCAACCTCAAAGATTAATTAATTCAGTTCTTAAGTTGAATTCTACCTGCTAAAACTATTAATGGATCTGCAGGAACATATCCAAGGCATAAATATTTAAATAAAAAACGCTTGAAATTTTCAATTGCTGATTATTCTAGTGAATTGAAAAATTATGAGATTGAATACTTCATATGAATTTCACGTGAAGCAAAAAGTAAATTTTAAGAGTCTATCACAACTTTCAAGTCAGTCTGTTGTTCAAAAGTATAAATGTATTTTTACATATAAATTAATCCATTATTCTCGATCGAGAGTGATGGGTCGGCTGTATTATATCTGTGGTGCTAATTGTTAAGTGGATACTTTAGATGAATTCTGAGATATTGTTTCTGTATATTTCCGAGATTGATAGCGAAAAATTGAGAGATATGGGTGAATGTAGAGAAAATCGTATTGCGCTCCATGTTCAAACAGCACTACATGTGTACATGCCAAAGTCAAAGCACAGAATTCCTCCAGAATTAAATTGCTCAAAATAAGTATTCAAATCATATGTATCTAAAAGCGAGAAGCGAACAATTCGATACTTCGACTTTGGCATAAATCCACGAATGTTGTATCACGATTGTGGACTCGTTAAAGAAAAAAGAACAAAAAAAATACAAATTTTCATTTAATTTTCATACACTCAGGGGCCTTTTATTTATTTCCTGTTGAATGCCACTGCCTTGAAGAAATAGATTTTTCGATGTTCTTTTGACGCATGGATCTCTGTACGATGAAATAATTTGTTTTAAATTGTTCATGTACAGTTCCACTCGAGGAGTTTCAATTCGCAAAGCTGCGTAAACGACGAATTAAGAGTAACAACAGCTCATCCACGGATAGCAACAACGAGAATAGTAATCTGGAGGAAACGTCGTCAGACACTGGTTAATCTATAGAAATTCTCACTCAAATCCTAGAGAATTAAAAAAAAAAGAATAAGTCATATTTCAACGAACACGAAGAAAATTAAGGATGTTTATCCAAAATCGCAAGTATCCTGATAAAAATATCGATCCAGCCATCGGCCGTTACTTTTTAAAGATTAGATGAACAAAAGTAAAATGGCAAATATATTTTTTCACTCCAGTCCTCCAAATTTTATGTTGCTATTCTTCAAGTATTCTAATTAGTAAATCATCAATTAGAATATACAATAAGAAAAAATGTTGAATTTTTATTGAAGGGATATATTCAAGAAATGGTTAAACATCCTGTTTGGCACTCAATCCGTGAGACACCAGATATTGTTCGTCAGTCGGCCGAAAAGAACTTTCCTCAGGATTGTGTTTGCATTCCTCGGCTTTACCTCGGACTGTGAAATCACAATCGCAATCGCAAAGTTTCCAACGGCCTATAACGAAATGAATCCCGGAAAAAATATCCCCGGAAAAAATATCCTCGGAAAAAATATCCCCGGAAAAAATATCCCCGGGACAGAAATGAAATGTATGATTGGGGGGATATTTTTTCCGGGGATATTTTTTCCGAGGATAATTTTTCCGGGGATATTTTTTCCGGGAGATTTTTTCTCGGGATATTTTTTCCGCCACCCTAACGAAATATAGTAAGCATGAGAAAATAAGAGTCGAGCGATAATGTAAGTCTGAATGACGAGCCTATTTTTCGCTACGAAGCTTAAGACAATAAACTGTAACATTTGAAAGGAAAAAAAACCATTAAATACAAATCCCGGCCTTTGAATGTCAATATTCAATGTGTAAAATAAAAATACTCTTTCTGTTAATTGAAATTCTCGTTTCCAGTCTTGAATTTCATTGGGGAAATTTTAATATCTTTAGATTAAGGCCCGGATGGATTTTTTTTCAAATTTATAAAATTGCATTTATCTCGTTTCTTACGCGCCGGAACGCAATAATAATGGAATTTTTGTTCCCCGTAGGAAATAATGGTATTTTCGTTCATATCTCGGCGAGACGCATCGATTTCACTTATAGTGAAGTCGATTTGAGCGATTTTTTTTTTTTT